TGCAATTGACCAAGCCTGGGTACAGAAGCGGGGAATCAAGGTGTGAAAAGTGGCCAGACCCACTGCAGTATACAATGCAGATAGTACCTGCAACAAAGGAGGAGACATCATGGAGTATGTGGACATTCACCTCACCATCGGGGACCACCACGAGCGAATCGAGTTAGCCGTAGTAGACCTCAGCACCACTCCAATATTTCTCAGACATGATTGGCTTTGAAGACATAATCCAATCATAGACTGGAAGGCTGGGACAGTAGTGTTGGCCCTATGCAAATGTTGAAAACTGGCATTCTGGTTGCCGGATGCAGATCCAGAACAGAAGTGGGGAACGGAGTATGAGGAAGGGGACACTCTTCTTGTCATCAACTTCGAAGAAGCCTTCCACATTAGAGCCATGGGCAGCAAAGCCAATGAGCTAGCTGCCAAGGCCAACAAGGACAAGAAGGAGAAGATGTTTGAGGAGATAGTTCCTGAGGAATACTGGGAGTTCATAGACGTATTCACCAAGGAAAACTTTGATGAACTACCACTGCATAAACCATGGGACCATGCCATTGAACTAATTCCCAATGCCAACGTGAGCCTAGATTGTAAAGTTTATCCTCTCAATCCCACTGAACAAGAGGAGCTCAATAAGTTCTTGGACGAGAACTTAAAGACCGGTTGCATTCAACCATCAAAATCTCCTATGGCTTCACCCTTCTTGTTCATCAAAAAGAAGGATGGCAAACTTTGACCAGTCCAAGATTACCGAAAGCTCAACGAGATGATGATCAAAAATTGATATCCATTACTACTCATCTCAGAGCTCATGGACAAACTGAAGGGTGCCAAGTACTTCACCAAGATGGATGTAAGGTGGGGGTACAACAATGTATGCATCAAACAGGGAGATGAGTGGAAAGCCACATTCTGAACCAACCGAGGACTATACAAACAAACCCCTGGTAATGTTCTTCAGACTAACCAATTCCCCGGCCACCTTCCAGTGGATGATGAATGATATTTTCAAAGACCTGATAGCGGAAGGAAAAGTAACTGTGTATCTGGACGATATCCTCATCGCCACCAAAGATAAGATGGAACATGGACATCTAGTCAAGGAGGTACTCAAACAACTGTGGGAGAACAAGTTGTTCTTAAAAGCCAAAAAATGCGAATTTGAGGTGGAAGAAACAGAATACCTAGGAGTTATCATCAGCGAAGGCTCCATTCACATGGACCCTATCAAAATTGTGAGAATCCTGGACTGGCCCACTCCTCGCAAAAAGCAGGAATTACAATCGTTCCTGGGCTTTTGCAACTTCTACTGATGGTTCATTTGGCATTATAGCAAACATGTCAAACCCCTCACCCAGTTGATGGGAAAGACGGAGTGGAAGTGGGGCGAAGCGCAAGATAAAGCCTTTCAGGCCATCAAATGACAATTCTGAGAAGAGGTAGTCCTAGCAATTCCCCTAGATGAAGGAAAATTCTGAGTCAAGGCCAACTCCAGTGATGGCATGGTAGGAGCAGTACTGTCTCAAGAACAAGATGGAAAGTGGTGACCAGTTGCCTTTATGTCTAAATCTCTCTCCATAACAGAGCATAACTACGAGATCTATGACAAAGAACTGCTGGCGATCATGCTCGCTTTAGAAGACTGGTGACACTACCTAATGGGTGCCCGAGAGGACTTTGAGATTTGGACGGATCATTCCAATCTCCAATATTTCTGCAAACCCCAGAAGCTCAACCGATAACAAGCATGGTGGGTAACAGAGTTAGCAGAATATCAATTCACTCTCCACCACAAGCCCAGAGTGCAGAATCGCAAAGCAGATGTGCGGACCACCCTCAGGGGAAGGATGACAATCAAGACATCATCCTACTTAAACCCGAAGTATTCCAGGTGTCAATCATGCCAACAGAGGAGGAATTACACCAACAGATTCGACACCACTGCAAAGACCAATGCAAGTGGGACGCTGGGATCACTACCTCCATTAACCATGAACAAGGCATTTATCACCAAGACAGATTACTCTACCATAATGGTCGCATATACGTGCTCAAGGTATCCCAATTATGGGGCTCCATCATCACACAACAACATGATCACATCACCACCAGACATCCCAGGATAGAAAAGACAAAGGAGCTCATTCTACAAGACTATTGGTGGCCAAAGATGAAGAAGGAGGTAGAAGCTTATGTGAAGGGATGCGAAGCATGTCAGAGGATGAAAGTCAATTGACAAAGCAAAAGGACACCATTACATCTGAACAAAGTACCTGCACAGCCCTGGGAGCATATTTCAGTAGACATGATAACCAAACTACTGAACTCTAAAGGGTATGACTCCATCTTAGTCATTGTGGACCGGTTCTCCAAGGCAATAATCCCAATCGCATGCACTGAGCACCTGATGTCATCTGGCTATGCTAAAATCCTACTCCAACATGTCTATGTCCCATATGGAGTTATGCCCAAGAAAGTTATCTCTGACCAAGGATCAGTGTTTGTGTCCAAGTTTATGAAGGAATTTTATGCCTTGGTTCAAATACAAGGAAATCTGTCAACCACTTATCATCCCCAGATGGACAGACAGACTGAATGAGTAAATCAGGAAGTAGAGCAGTACCTGAAACTCTTTGTAAACTCCCACCACAATGACTGGAGTGATTGGCTACCATTAGCAGCCTTCGCACACAATAATAGAGTTCACTTGGTGATAGGGTTCTCCCCCTACAAGATAAACTTTAGAAGGAACAGACAAATGGTACCTGGCAAAACGAGTTGGGGAAATGTCCTGGAGGTGGATCAATATTTCCAGAAATTGCAGGAAATGCAGGAGAAAGCAAGGAGAGCACTGAAAAAGGTGGCAGAGCAGATGAAGAAGAATCATGACCGGCATGCAAGGAAACCCATGGAATACCAACCTAGAGACCTCGTCTGGTTGGACTCCACCAATCTGCATCTACCTATGCCCATTCGAAAGCTAGGAGATAGACAGGTCAGACCATTCCAGGTAGTGGCAAAATCAGGAGCTTCAGCCTATGAGCTAAAGTTGCCAATGAACTGGAAGGTCCATAACTGGTTCAACGAGGCCCTGTTGTCCACATACACCAAACCCATATTCCTAGGACAACCCTGCTATGAACGACCACTGTTGAATCTCATCAGCAACGAAGAACAGTACAAGATAGAGGAAATAGTAGGAGAAAGAGAGAGAGCAACCAGGTGAGGCTGAAACTGCAAGACAGTAATGGACTACCTAGTCAAGTGGAAGGGATACCCCCCGAAGAGAATTCCTGGGTGACACGAGCAAATCTTGCTAACATGGAGGAGTTGGTAAAGGAGTATGAAGAATGAATCCAGAAGGTGCAGTGGACTAAAGGGAAAAATGGCAAGATGATCAGAGTCGACAACAAGATTCCCAACCCGTTGACATGCGTGCAATGCATTCATACATGTAATTTTGCGAATTCTGTGAATCCAAACATGTGTCAATCCACTAAGTAATATTAGAGTGCATACCCGGCATGGAGCAACACCTGTTGAGGCAGAAGCAGCATATAATAAAATAATCCGAGTGGAGTGCATGGCTTAGACTTAGAGCAGCACACTGGTGTCATTTAAGTGTGAAGTCTCAGTGCCCTGACTTCACACCCTATGCATCCCTCAGCAGCGTCTTGCTCAAATAAAATACACTGAGAAGATAATATATTTATGGAGCTCCGTGCAACATTGATCTATGATGCATGAACCCTGCCAATCTGGCAATCACCGAGAAACATCATTCAGAACTGAGGACCACCCAGTCTGAGCCCCTGAGAGGGCTTCAGCCGACACGAGAGAAACCCTGTACCCAGAATGAAATATTGAACTAAGAAAAGGTTGTGCAGCAACCAAATAAAAATACCAGCTCACGAGTGATGTGCACAACAGAGGAATTAAAAACAAGGAGCCAATTAGGAGAAATATTCTGCATGATGTGGCAACTCTATACCTTGCCAAGAAGAAAGAGCAGCATGTTACCAAGCACTAACTCGGATGACTGACTCAGAATATTAATTAGTGACCATGTGTTTGACATGTCATGGAGGGGAAATGACTCCGGGATGGGGTGTATCTATTCTCCATTATTTCTATTTATACATTTAGCTGTAAATAAAAGCACGGTAGTTAGGAGTAGGTAGCAAGCTTTCAGACCCCCACAGTTGTGACACAAAGCAGAGAGCCTAGTGTGCAGCCAAAGGACTTGTGTTTGTAGCTTTGAGCAAGAGAATATTATTGGATCTAGAATTATTTTGAAATGCTTGAGAGGTTGGGAGGCATGCCTTGCTCGTGCATGATGCCTAGCTTGATTCTGGACAGTATTTGATTGTGCTCAACTCGGAGAAATATTGTATTGTGATAACTTGAATGTGCATTTGTGTTTGCAGAACGTGTTTGTGAATTCTGAGTTGTTGCAAGTGGCAGAGGTTCGAACCCTTTGGCTTGTCAATACTCTTTGAGGGTTTTGGTTTATTCCCAAGTAGCATAGGCTCAAACCCTGTGGCTTGTGGATGTGTTTCGGTGTTTCTGTGTCTCTGGATCGCATAGGTTTGAACCCTGTGGATCTACGAAAGGTTTCTGAAGTGTTTTCTGCTTAGAGCACAAAGCTTTAAGTTGTGTGTAGTTTGTTTGACAGGTTGTGGCCACCTGTGTGTCACGTGCAACATCAATTGAGGGTTGTACGTTCTTGTGGGACATTTGTGGGCTTGGGAAATATTACTTTTGCCTCAAGGCCGAGCAATACATATCACTCACCTCCTGTCCTAAAAGCATTTGGACTTAGAGAATTCTTTTGAGCTAGCATGCTATTATATCTTGAAGAGTGCAAGACATCTTTTAATTCTACTGTTATTGTGTGCTTGCATCACACATCTCCCCCAAACTACTGAGATTCTGTGTGTGTGAGTGTGAGAGTGGGTGTGTTTAGTGTGTCTAGGCTATCGCATTTCGAGCTTGGCATGCACAGAGCCTCTTCACCGTATGATGTACCCGACAGCTTTCAAGAATTGCCATGGGACATCGAGACTCCACATGGATCCACCACAGAAACCGTAAATCCTCCATCCTGGATGTCAGCCTCCAATCTCTGTGAACACCTAGCCCCAGTAGCTGATGCTCGAGGCTCTGAAGGGAAAACTTGTGCATCATCACCAATGCCCTCCATTACCTCCTCATTCCTACATCGCATAAAAATGACAGCTGAACAAATGGACTGGGAACTAAAGGAACAAAATGCCCAGTACCTCAAGGACAACAATCTCCAGGACGATAAGGAATGGAAGTACAAGCCGTACATTGATGAACCTATATACTCCTGTGGGCGGAAACACAAAACCTAAGTGCGGTATGTGCTAACAGACATGGAATCTGAAGGATGGTTCTAGTGAGTCTAGTTGGGGCACCTCCATGCGGTGACTAAAGCCTCCTAAGTTCGGAAAGATAAAGGAATTTCTCTACTAGTAGTGTAGAGGGCTGTAGCAAACTATAAAATTCGCAGGAAGGGAAGTAATTGGGAAAGGGATCCTAGAAGAGGCCCTAAAACGAATCAGTAAATGTACAAGGACTATACCTTGTTCTTGTTACAACTCTAGCTGCGAGTGCAATGAATAAGAGCTCTAAAGAGGCTGTCCAAGTTCTAGCTGCGAACTCAGAGGCTGTAGCAAATTATTAAACTCGCACGGTAAGGTTGAATCGAAGTGATGAGGATTGGTCTGATACTCGACGAGACTTTCTCTGGCTGTGAGAAAGAGAAGGCGTTGATGGGAGGGATGAAAATGCTGTCTCCTAGCTGCGGAAGCAAGCGAATTTGTTTGCGAAGCAAAGCAATAAAAGAGTTTCCTAGTGGCGGGACTCCTAATTACTTTGCATAGAAGAGAGGGATGGGTTGTAGGCACAAGTAACCATTAAAGGTTCACCGTTGCTTAGAGAAATAAAGGTTCAAGACGAAGTTCTAGCAGCAAAAATGTCTTTATTGTGCTACTTCAAGGGTGTATGTTGTATGGTGTAGGTGTTAGAGATCGAAGGTAAGCGTAGAGAATAATCTGGGGTCTCCCTTATTCGCTCTCTCAGGCTACCAACTTGCGAGCTTAAATACTCGTTACACTGGCTAACTAAGCTACCTTACTCTAGCACTAATATTACTATGGCATAGATTATTCAAGTACTTACTTAGCAAAGGTTGGTAAGTATGCACAGTTACTGTGCCTAAGACTATACTAATGTGACTAAGAGTTCTCACTAACCAGATCTCCAATACTTCGATGAATAATTTTCTACGGCTGCGGCTGACTTGCCGTAGTTTTAGCTATGCGACGCGTTTTGCAAGGCTGCATGTGGATAATTCGTGACCGCAGGGATGTTTCATGTGTGGTGGCAGTGCTAGTTCTAGACTACAAGGCACAACGTCCGTGGGGAGAAGGGAAGGATCGATAGGGCCGATGCCGATGACATCATACGCAAATCACTAACTTCGCATGCTGAACACCAATTGACTTGGTTTAAATTGCATCTTGCTTGCAATCATTGAATTAGGGAAAGTCCGCTATAGGGACAAAGGTGATAAATTGTAGGTTGTGTCTGCAATTTCAGAGCGCACAGAGCCTAGAGGCTCATCAACGTTCCAGACCCAAAATTTGACAATGACCGAGTCTGCAACTCCTTCCTCAAACATTACAGGGAGGAGATCAAAAATTCAAGAGCAGAAGGGCGACAGTTTGTGGAACCCCCCATACTTTTTGACCCACCCTCAGAAGAGGAAGAGGAAATGGATGTCGAAAATCTTCAAAAGGTAGTTGAAAATTGGTTCAGTGATGCGGAAAGCATTGAGGAAATGGACAGGTACAAGTCTGATGGCTCATTCAGGATGAATGAGTCGTAAGGAGGGGGTAATGTTATGATTTTCCCTTTTTATCTTTTCAGGGCTTGTCTTTATCTTATCAGCACATCCAAGCGCTCAGACACTTCACACGTTGTCAACGCTCAACTCTCGCATTGTAGCTGCAACACCTGGTCATCGTATGATTCTCTTTGTTTCACGCATGGTTACTGAATGATAGTAGTCTATTATTAGTATACTCCAAGTGTATTTAAGTAGAGCCTCAGCTGGCCTAAACCCCAGCTTCGGCTAAGGTTTAAACACCCAGTCCTATTTGCTCCCTGCTCCATGACTATCTAAGTTGGTTACCTGCTCATTCCAGCAGGCAACGCAGACATTGTGAGTGACCACCAAAGTGCGAGTGGCATTCTCTTGTTTGACCTTGTTTGTAGAGTTGGTCGCTAACACCCCTGTCATTCTAAAAAGAAAATTAACATCGTGGATAACCTCTGAATTCACCTGTTGGGATTCGAACCCCCCAGTGTGTGCACTATGGATAGCTGATATGCTAGGAAAGGTGTAATCAAACTCACAGTATAGTAAGATTATTTTGACTCATGTGATTTGGAGCATTGATCTTGGATCATACAGTTCTTGAGTCTTTGGGACTGTCTGTAGTCATAGAGAAATCAAAAATACAGCTTTCTGTCATATAGTCATATGCAGGGTATACATGGTGATGTGCTCAGTAATGGGCAGTGTGCAAAATGAGACAAGTGTCTAGATCATCAATCTAAATACTAAATCACACACACACACACACTATCACCAATGTATATAAGTTTGAGGGTGAGTACAATAGAAGCACTCGCGATATACTTAGATTTAGACAATCAAGTGGGTTTTTGTTTGAAAACAACTTCAATTCTTCTATCGATGTATTTTACACAAAATACACTAGTCTGCGACAGCGGGTTTTATGAACGTGTTTTGCAAGATATAGATGAGCAAGTTATACTCCTTTTAACGTCATCTAGAGGAGGTTCTAGTGGACACTTTAAATATTCAAACAACCAAAGACCCAGAGGTCTACAAAGAGCACAAAATCACTCTGCGAAGAATGCACAGGTTCTGACTTCAAGTACATGACTTGCAAAGAGTACACAGGCTCTAGAGTTCCTTGAACTCAACCATTGTTCAAACTTAAAGTGTTCTAGGGCTTATTTCACTTCAACTAGATGATGTCTTTTGACTTAAGGTCAACTCAGCATGTCTAGATCGCTAATCTCGGAGAGGAAGAGCATGAGGCCTTTGTCCACAGAGCAGTTCAAATAACTAGCAAGGTGCAAATGTGGGGAGGACTCTACTTCCTACTTAACTCTTCTAGATTACTGGAGTGACCCTTATGGGTTGACTTTGGTAACTTAATTCACTTCAGTTGAGGATATGCAATAAAACCAGTGATTGATTAGGTAGCTATACAGGCCACTGGCACAAATGCAGGGGAATGCTTTCCTGCTGTTATGTGTCTAGTTGCAGCTAATTTATATGATTCATGTTCTAGGTATAGGAGCCCATATCTACAGTAATTATGGTACGAGCTGTGGAATTAATACAAATGGTGAGTCACTATTCCACAAGTATCACGTGATTCCATAGTTTCTATTCAGTTTGACACGACTGCACCACATTATTCTCTCATCAAGGAGTGCCCTACTGGTCCATGGGTGCTCCTTCTACCATCTGCAAGGCTTGCCACACCCCATATGTATTGAATACTGCAGTTTGCACAGGATCTCGAGGCTGTAACCACTGATCATGATTGACTGCAGGTCCGAGATTATGTTCTGTTGATCACTGTGTGATCAAGGTCAGTCATCTCAGTACCCAACATGTAACGCACTAACTTGGATTGAACAACGTTTGCCTCTAAACTGTCACTCGCGTTCGGTGATTCAGTGTGATAGAGGGTGTTGCAATCGCTAGGTTATGAACAATAGTTCTTAGGCACGAAACAGGGAGTTTCTGCGTGAAAAGTTAGGAGTGTATAACTTTAGCCGAAGCTGGGGTGTAAGACCACAGCGAGGCTTGTTTAAATACATTGTGGTATTTACTAGTATGTACCGCTCCTGTGTCTCGGTGCGTGCAGTCCCAATGCAGCACTATCTTCTATGTCCTCTGTATTGTATGGCGCTTGGTATAGGAGAAGCCCTCCTGTGAGTAAGGAGACTAGTGTCCATAGGACGCGGTCTTCTGAGGAGTGTACGTGGTGGCTTGTCCATCCTAGGGCGTGATCACAGATGACCTAAAGAAGCGTGACTGGGTGAAGAAGGATCTGGCCCATAGAGTGTGATCGGTCTATGGGCCATCAAACGGATCATGCATGTGAGCGGTAGATCCAGGGACCTATCAGAGAAGACTGATGGTTATGTTGTGGCAATGCTCCGATGATGCGGTGTGAGCGTGATGATGCCAGAAGCGCTCCTGCAAGAAGGACAGCATCTGTGTGATGCTGCCTTCTACAACGTATGGTAGCGGAGCCCACGACAGAGTCCCAGTGATGTGGTCCATGGCACGAGATGATGCTGTGGGGGCATGTGACCAAGTGGGTCATGAATGATACAGGTCAGGTACGAGGAATGATGATGAGAGTCGAATGACGAGTTGCTGACTTGCCATGATAAGATAAGATAAGCGAAAAATAGGGGTGAATTCATGACACAACATGGCTATTGATTCTTCCAAGGTTATTCTTTTCATAGACTGAGTTCATCTTGAAAGCTGATCTGGTTCTTGACTTAGCAATTCTTATGGATAGGTTCTTTCCACTCATTGAGGTGATGAGGCATCTAGTTCATTCAGTTCTTCAGCTTCTTGGTTTTTATACTTCACACCGATGAGTCTCTGAGATTTGACTGTAATAGTCTTGTTTAGGTAGGGCTTGGCTTGGCATATTGACAGCTGGTAGAATTGACTCATCGAGATGTCATTTCTAAGTTCATTCTGTACTGCCATGCGCTCTATCTTTATGTAGTATTTAACTACCAGTGCGAAGCCTCCACTGTAGCTCTCTGTACTGCTTGTAGACTGCATAAATTAATGTAAAATCACAAAATCTATGGGTAGCCTGATACCAGGCATATCAATGGGTATCTCTACATGTCAGAAACATACATTCATCTGTCACCCATTAAATTATAATAAATAAACTCAAAAAAACATGTATAAATGCTCTGCCATGCTTTCCCTGGGACTCGAACCCATGTCACTGAACCACCATAACCACTGGACCATTGGGAGAACAACAAAATGGGTACTTATTTCCCTGTAAAGTGTCCACCAGAATGCAAAAAGATGATGGTACTACCACTGGGGTTGTACACTTTCAGTGAGGATCAAACCCAGCTGACACAGTGCATGTATTAACTGTTATACCACCAGAGAGTTGACAATTGGCAATGATGTCACCCCCACAGGCTCTTCTCTTAGCTTCCAGCATTGACATGGCTGCATCATCTTCCAAACTCCCCAGTGCTTGTTGTCCTTGTGCACATCCACTAGCCCAGTCCTGTGTTGATGGGTTTTGATGTCACCAACATCCCTTGATCTTGACTGCTAGTGCCTGTGTTGTCAATTCCACATAATCATCGCATATTGATGGGAAGGACCCCAGGTGTGTTATCCAGTGCTGTTAGTTATCCATCAGGATGCCTGATTGACACCAGTATGTGACACTCTTAGTCTGTTCCTGATTACTGAGCCTGTTCATATCAGGAAGGGAGCATGCATATGGGACCATTCACAGATGAGGAGTGAGGATGCTAGACTCTGATCGAATTGTCCTCAACTCCATTTCACCCATGTTGCTTTCATCCAAGCTGAAATTCTCATGGTCTAAGAGGACAACACACTCTCAATCCTCAATTCTACTGGCTCAGCATCGGCATTCCAAGGAAGAGCTATGCTGTTGGGTGAGAGAAAGGTTGGAGTGCCTAGGTATGTTATCCTCACTCCCATCAATTCATTTGCTGATAGTAGCAGGTGATCTGCTATATTCAATGTTAATGATGCTGTGTCCCTATCTGGAGCAACATGAGGAGAATCGAATCAGTGTTGGGGACATCCTGTGCAATTAGCTTGATGCCACATGTCCAGTTGCTCCTTCAACATCAACATTCTCAGATGGACTTGTCTCTACTATAATCCTTATTTGCATGTCCACCATACCACAAGTACACACCCACCCATCTCAGTGTTTTCCCTCCTCCATATGTCATTCTGCACTGAATGTTCAGACTCCTCAAATAAAGCCCAATCCTGTTTGATCACAGTGTGGGGGTAGGAATGTTTTGGATGTTGGATCAAACATAAATGCAACCTGCTGCACACTCACTATATCTCCATGGCCTCTCCCACCTCTACAACATTTGCAGTTCCCCTCCAAGTTCAATGCCACCCTATCAACTCACACTGATGCATCATCCATTGGTGGCTCACTGCACCTTCAACATTAAATCATTCTGTTGCCTTCTCAAGCCAATGGTATGTGATCTTTTGCCATCATATAGTTGCCACCAGCCACATCTCCTGACTTTCTTTATGCTGCTTCATCTCCATGCCATCCCACTGTGCACACAACTCTCAGCCCTCTTCCACAGGCATATATCCACATTTGTTCATAGGGTATGCCCATGTGTGCCTCACATCCTTCTGCACTTATTGAAGTTGGGAACTATTCTCCCCATGCTCTCAGGTGTGGCATTTCCAATGACTACCTGAAATAGCAGTCTGCATGCAGTATTTGGCATTGTCCCTTGGCTGCTCCAGGTGGCACTCCATAATGCACCAAATGCCCATTTCTTTGCCATCTTTGCACAATCCTTTATTTATTATCCATTAAAAGCTACCTTAATTCTGTGGCATAACTTGTTATTTATCCTGGTGGCTCCTCCCCAATTTATCCCACTGTTTCTTGTGATTTCTTCGTGATACACTCATATCCTGTGTATAAATTATATCCATGTATGCTATCATTTGTGAGAAAGACATCGATCTTATTTAAAACCAGTAATTAGAACATTGGGGGACATGATGGTGCTGTATAAAGTGAATGAACCACATCCACATCTGATCTATTGGTCAATGGAACACCATAGAGCTGGCAAAGATCATCAAGCCTAGCACAGGGTAGCAAAAGAAGAGCATTGAGATCATGGACATTAAATCTCTTGGCATCAAACTCATCAGCCGGTGCCTCTGAAGTAGTAACATGTTGCAGTTCTGTGTCTGTGTCCATTGGTAGATTGACCAGAAGGGCAGGATTGACAATTGACATTGAGGTATTCCATGATGAACTGGACTCAGGCATAGCATCCAGGCATATTTGCAATGATTGTGTCCTGTCATATATAAAAAGAAGATCAATGATTATGATGACATGTGAGTGATATATGAACCTTTTTTCTCAAGCATCTGGCTTTGCCTTTTTACCAGGCTGCTCTCCTCCTGAATATGGATCACTGTGTGTCTTCTTTCACTTGCTTTTGATTGGTACTTGTATGACTGCAGCAGTTTCTGTCCATGAATGATGATTTGTTGCGATTAGTGTTGCCACGGCTTGGCTCGAAGTCGTCGAGCCATTGAGCAGAGTCGAAAATGTACTGAGCCAAGTCATGGCAATGACTCAGGCCCAGAATGGCTCCGCTGGGCTACAACTTGACTTTTGGTGGCTCGAAGCCAGTCGAGTCATTGGCTGTACCCAATTAGAAAATATATTTCATATTCTCTCTCTTTTGGCTTCAGTGAAGGATATAAAGCAGGTTGAGGCTTATAAGGATCATATTTAAATGTATCAACTCAAGAATGACAATTAAGTTATATAAATGATCTCTAAACTGTACACAAAAGCATAAAAGTGAAAGTTTACTCCCATTTTGAGATATCAGCATGTACATTGGGCATTGAGGTTTGCCCTTGAATATGTGGTGTAGGGATGAATGAAGTGCAAGGATTATGTGGAAGATAGTGTGGAAGCACTGGTGGCCAGCTGAAATGAAGAAAGAACGTATCAACATAGTATTCAGTCATCTCCTTCTCTAGCTGCCGAATCTCGGTCTCAGTCCAAAGCCAAGTCATTCTATTCTTTGCTATAATTTCCAGCTTCTGTCCCACCCAGGTCTGCATCAGTCAGCGCAATGAACATAGATATGGAGCACCATCAAACCAATTCAGATGAGCAAAACCCATATTTGCACTTCTGACATCAGCAACCATGATGGGACCAGCAAAGCAGCATGATACAGCAGTTTCACAAGCAGTGTCATGATTAGGTGCAGCAACTTGCATCATATGGTCCAGCTCTGCAAGCTCCAAATGGAATTCCAGCTCTGAAATCTCCCATACAATCTCTTGATGGTCTGCAGCTGTCAACTTGACAAATGGCTTTCCTCTCCAGAAGATGGATTCTTTTTCTGTGGTTCCTAAGTCCATTTCAATCTCATCACAGCATCCTTTGAGAAACTCCCTCATTTTGTCCTGCTGTTTAGCAGCTTTAGTGTCACTGCTTTCTTGTTGGGATGCCATGCCAAGGTAGTCAAGTGATATGAGAGTCTTCCAGCTATTCTGATCCATAAGAGCAGGAGTGTAGAAGGTCGATGAAAGGTGAGCAATCATGGGAACGTGAATATGTAGCCAGAACTTGAACATCATCTGTATTTTATGGGGATTCTCGGCAGTAGTAAGACAAGAAGGAGGAGGCAAGGCATATCCACATGGTTTTATGCCGACAGATCCAATGCAACAAGATTTATCAAACACAAGAGTGGATAAGCCATGACCCCAAACAGCCACAACAGGTGGAAGGAATGAATGTGCAGGCATCTGATCAACAAAACGCTTTGAAGAATATGACAAGTTATTATTCAGTGATTGCTGAGAGTCTAGAAAGATGTTAAATTTGTGTGCAGAAGACTGAAATGCAGAGAAACTAACAAGGTGACATCTTTCAGCCTTTTCTTGATGATATGGGAGACAATGTTGGTGCAGGGATGGGAGGATTAATTAATGGAAGTGAGCCAGTGCTTTGTGTCCAAGTAAAAACATTTGGGAATCAGACATGGCTATGTGTAAACCTGTCAAAGGCATAGTATTTTTTGGCAGTCAATCCATGACCTTTGAAGATAGGGCAGAACTTAGCATGATGCTGGTCAAGGGGCATGAAGAAATGCAGCTCTCGGAAATGATCTGTCTTGTCGATACGGATGTTTGGAAGTTGATCAATGTGCTGAATGATCCACACTGGAATCCCTGCATGGAAAAAGCTCTGCACAATCTGAGCATCATTCGTAAATGCTCCCATCAGCTCAGGATCTGCTTTTTGTGGCACTGAACTGTCTGCTGCAGTATCCATATGGGGTTTATAGATCAACATATAATCTATCAGCACCTGCAAATAGAGTACAACATGCTGAGTCTCCTGCACACTTAATTGCACCTTTTCAAGAGACATGGGAAGGTGCTGAAGGTGTTCCAGAAGGTCATGGAGCAACACCATATAGCCATGCTTTAAATCCTCAGCCCCTTCAGAAAATGTTGCTCCCTTCCCACATTCTATGGTTTTATCTACCCATTTTTGGAACCAGACAAACTTATGATGGAGTAGGAATCTGGGACCCCTACATTCACCAGCAGAATCAGCTTCGTAGAAGTCAGTCTTGCCTGGAAGCCAGTATAGCAGAGCATCGGGATGGGAATCAGATGGGTTCAATAGTGCAGAACGAATAATGGGGAAATGACAATGTTGAGAGATGTATGGTTGAGGCCAAGACAGAGGGTCATCGTCCCCATAGCAGAGATCCAAATGAAGATACATGACTCAATTGCTTCCAAGTGGCAGGGCGCATAATGCACTAGCATTCGGTGTGGTAACAATGAATTTATCATACAAGCTGCCCAAAGCTCCATCGAAAGCCAACACTTCTGTAAGACAGATCAAATATCATCAGTTTAGGGTTGAACAAGAGGGTGAGAGTCGGACAAACTTGCATTGGGGTTCCTCTTGTGGAGTAACAGCTCTGGATACAGTTTAAGATTTTGAAGAGAAACATCAGGCATAATTCTAGAGGTAGCAATGTTATAAAGTGAAATGAAATAAAAGAGAGTATACTCACGAACAATCTAGGGTACTGAAGATGAAGTTAATACCAATCAGTCAATCCTTCTGTAGCTGAGAAGACCATTATAAGGAGGCCTATCAATGGGCCAATGGTGGATATCACACCCTCGCCTAGCAGTTACATGTATCACTGAAAAGAAGAGCATCAGACTAAAGAAAAGTAAAATCCACCGATGCCTGGTACAAGTGGAAGTGGCGACAATATATACAGCCACAGATAAAATAGAAGAAAAAAGATACACATACCAAGACTTGAAAAATTTGAGCGTTTCATTCAGAATACGTGGGATCGAAGTCTTGAGATGAAAGAGCAGGTCAAACATGACGTGCATGTGATAAAATGCTTTGATAAACAAAGTCACATCATTGGTGAACAAACAATGAAACACATCGACTTGTCACTCACCATCAATACCATTCACCCTCAGGACTGTACATACTGTCATCCCTACAGTCTGTACTTTGCATTGAATGCTTGATGCTTCCTTCTCCACCATCAAGGTTTCTGTTTCTTTCAAGCATTGTACTGACCGCCACAAGTCCGAAAGATTGTGACACCATACTGTCCAATGTCCATCCCCATACTTCCTCGGTGAGTCTTATGGTGCATGTTCAAAATTTTTTTAATTCCTCACCTTCTCTGAGTAGCCACAGCTTGTGTTGCACATAACCGAGGGTATCCAATGCCATATAATAAGCTCGTGAAGGTTGGTTGTCAGTGTTTAGGAAGATGGTATGTGATGTGATTTATGCTTGTTCGGAGAATGTACACTCACTGTTCTAGTTATTATTGTTTATCATAGAAGTGTTTTTTTTGGCCTAAGTCGATTTTACAACCCCAATTTTGCATATATAAGGCTGTATAGGATTGAAGAAAACGGCATCCCTTACCTACCCATGGCTACTAGCAGAAAACGAAGTGCACCAAGTACCAATGCTGGATCTTCCCAGAACACGTGTCATACTAGAAGTTCACATAGGGAGCCTCATGTTGAGCCGGCACCTTTGTTGGGTGCAGCCGACACACAGATGTCTGCACCTTCTGGATCTCATACTTATTCCTCTGGTTCATCCGATGGACCTGTTCATTCTGATACTTCCTCGCATCCAGAGCTTTGTTCTGTACTCCTGCCAGTGCCTGAGCAGCCACCTACAACTTTGCAGGTACCACCCATGCCTAGCATGCAAACAACGTTTCGCATTCAAGGTGAGTACATCCATGTCTTACACTTCTCGTATTCATTATTATCATTCAATACATTAGGGTATAATCACTGTCAGCCAGCTCCAACAGCACCCATGCAGTCACTTGCACTGGCACCTCCTCACTCTCCTATGCAACCTCCCAACCCCCAAGCTTTTGAGCATTGTCGTCCCACTGAATCCATGCCAGTCCCAGGTCCTTGACATGGGCATTTTGAAGATGATCAGAAAAGTTCTGACGAAGATTTCCCTGAGCCACCACTGCCACCATCATCCTCAGAAGACAAAGATGATCATCCTGAAACCCCTTGATGACCATCAGCATCTTGCCAAACACCACGGACACCTACATCTCGATGTCTCCCATTAGCCACAGCACATTGACTCTCTAGAACTCCAGGCACCCCTTGACAGCTTGCTCATGCTGCTGCTGATCAGAACAATAAAAACTGTCATGCAGCTTGTGATATCTGGTCTTTCTATGTGAAGACAGGGGACCGCCATCATTGCGCATCTTGCATGTACGTATGATGCCATTTAGTATTATCAACAGCACAGTAACTCTTTCTTTTCAGCACCGAAGACTTTGAAGACAGTGATAACATTGCAAAGCAATCTGATTTTGGGCTGAAAACTAGCACCAATATCCTACAGTGTCACTTACTCGACTTCCATGTTACTGCATGGTTGACAAAGTGTGAACAACTGGGCATTGAAGTTTGTACAAAGCAGAAAGCATACCGGGATGCCATTAACAACTTTCAAATTGAACAAGGCAAGCAACTACCATCATCCGGTGGCACTACACAGCATCCATATTCAAAAGAGTCATTCATCGATGCACTGGTCAGTTCAGTTGGATTGTTGCTGATGACCAAGTCTGTAAATATTTCTTTCTCTGATTGCCTGTATGCCACTGACAAAATCCCAGTCCATCAATGTTATTGAGAATCCACACCTTCATGCCATATTCTTGATGCTACACGAAGGTCTTAAAGAGTCTGACATTCCACATCGCTATTCCCCATGAGCCCGTATCCTTCAAATATGGGATGAATATATAGATAACCTGTCATCGGAATTGAAGGTAACTATTTATGGGCTCTAAGAACTGACACTGTCTCAACTAACTTCTTTTCAATGTTAGGGATCTATGGGACGCATTTCTTTCATGACTGATCTTTGGACAGACCTTAATATGCATCCCTTTATGGCAATCACCTGCCACTGGATTGAGAACAAGATTGTCAATGGTCGAGCTATGCTTCACCTATGTTCAGATTTGATAGGTTTCCATCATGTTCCTGGGCATCATTCAGGGGAACACCTTGCCAAGGTATTTGTATACATTCTGGATCACCTTCACATCATGTCCAGGATTGGCTGGATTACTTGTGATAATGCGACAAACAACAATACGATGATGGACCATCTGGAGTTACTGTTGCTATGGTGGTTTCCAGATATGCACTTTGAATGGGTGGATAATCGAATTCAGTGGGCATTTTCCATTGTATGTCAGGGTTGTTTCTCAACTATCTTGGACAGGTGTTTTCCTCACATTGTGAATCTTGCTTGTCATGATGTCAAGTGAGCAATTGATCAAATGCAGTATGGGTCTGGAACTAGGGGTGCTTTAGTTAATGTGACTCAGAATCCTATTGCCACCCTGTGCACACTAATTAAAGCAGTAAGTAGATTGTCATTCTTCCATGGCAAAGATGCTAAAGTAAACAATTTAGGTTTGTTCATCATTGCTTCATTGTGAGGCCTTTTCCAAGAAAGTTGCCCAAGCAAAACTTGGTTCTCTTCAGTTGCTTCATGATGTCGATGTTCAATGGTGTTCCACAGATATCATGATTGAGTGAGCACTCCTTCTGCATCAGGTATGATACTGTATATTGCTTCATTTCTGCTACTGAATATATGTATCTGCAGCCTATCCTTATGTTTCTGCAGTGTCGAGAGCAATGTGATCTTCAAAAACATCAGCTGAGTGACAATGAATGGACAGTTCTTCAACTTTTCCATGAAATATTATGTGTAAGGCCTATTTATTTGCCTCATTGATCTTTCTGACATGGACATCAAGGTTCCTCATGCTTTCCAACAAAGGCTGTCAGCTGAGAAAACACTGACACTTTGTGATGCCCTTCCATCCTTCTCTGCATTTGTTTTGTGATGGCATTCACTTCAAGAACAGATGCCCAAAATGAAGGATATTATTCAGGCCAGTCTCGAAAAGCTGGAAGACTATTTTCTCAAGGTTATGCATATCCCCGCATATAACTTTGCTATGAGTAAGTCTCATTTCCAATTGTCATTATATTCTAACATGTCTTGCAGTCTTGAATCCAAAGATGAAGTTACATTGGTACGAGTGCCATGAACCGCATAAATTGGAGTGGGCAAAAAATCTATTTATGCAAGAGGTATTCTTTTGATGTTCTTGTTTTGATATCAGACTGATGTCTAGTATAGCTTCAGCGCTATTCCTCGGCTCCTCTGATGTCTGCTATCCCTTCACAAACATGTGACTGGACAGATGACATTCTTGAGTTCAACATCCCAACTGGAAACTCGATGCAGAATATGCTTCAACAAGAGTTTGATGCATACCTTCTTGATCTGCAAGTTTTATCAAGCACGTTATTATTTTAGCAGGTATGTATGCTGCTACGCTCCCTGTTTCTTTGCCCTACTTATATGTTCACACAGGAAAACTATACATATTATCCAACCATGTTTTTGATGGCTATGGATATCCTCCCAGTCCAAGGATCATCTGTGCCTTGTGAGTGAGTTTTCTCATCGAGAAAGCAGACAACTATGGATCGCTGATCCTGTATCATGCCAGAACTCATGGAAGCACTGCAAATGCTGAAATTTGGCATGAAGCACAATGTATCAGCACTCAATTTTACATGACAGTATGATAAAGAGGCACAGACAGCTGCTTTGGAGGCATTAATGGAAGATGAAACAACAGTTCCTGTTGAAATTAATGAGTTTGTATGCTCTCTGGACATCTTCAAGGAAGTAATTGATGTTGTGTAGTAATTGTAATATATATGTTTCCTAATTTAGTATAAGCCAATGACTCGGTAAAAGTAAATGGCTCAGAGCCAAGCCAAGCCAAAATCATTAAATTGTTTTGACTCTGAAGCTGATCCAGAGCCAAGTTGCATTGAGTCAAGCTGAGTTGAGCTGAGTTGAGCCATGGCAACACTAGTTGCGATCTTGACCTTCTTTAATGGAATCATTGTTGAACTTGTTGCTGTAATTCCTGATGTCTGTGTAAAATCGGAAACTTGCTGGCTTAACATCTGGAGATGGGTTGTATACTGAGATGAGCTGCTAGTTTTTAGGTGTGTGGCAAGTATCTGGAGCTGGTTCACAACTTGTCATGCAAATTCCTTCTCTGCTGTTGGAGGAAATGAATCAGAAATGATTCCTGAAGTTTTTTCAACTGCATCAGCATGGAGTGATGGCACAGATGAAGCCTGAATGGACAGTGAGAATGATGGCTCAGCCACTATGGCAGCCTCTGAGAAGTGTACTTGCATGGTGCAAATATGCTTGCAGTATCTGATAAAGGGAAAGGCATGGCAGGTACATTGATAGGCATCCAGGTCGACAGTATAGTGAGTAGCACAATCAGTTTGGGACCAGACAAAGAATATGTGGTTGAGATCAGGATCAAGAGTCATTTTGGTGATATCAGACTTTAGAATCAATTGAGTGCAGTCTTCAATGCTTTTTCATTCCTTCAATTCAAGGCTAAGATCATCAAAACCAGCCTTCTGTTGCAAAGTGGTGGTCACTCCTGCTTTGCTTCGATTGGGATTGTAGCGTAGTTCCTTTGAGCAATTGAACTAGATTGATGTTGGCTAAGAACTTGAAAGAGAAACTCGTGAGTGAGCTTATACAAAAGCGAAGAGCAATTTCCTTTAATCAATTCAGCACTCACTCAGTCCAAATGCAGTACCAATACTGAGAGCAAGCACTAGTTAGATAAGAGTAAAAGGATGTCATTTACATGCAGCAGCCATGCAATGATAGCTCTGCATCTAATCTAATCATACAGGTAATCATTATCATAATGCATCATAATCATGATGATGTAAAAAAGAAGAAAACAAGACCATGGAAGAGTACCTTCTTGAACTGCCCTTCCCACCTGTTGCTGGTGACACTGAATAAAGTATGGAATAGTGCACTTAACAAAAATGTATATCAGATGGTCGAGTCTCCGATTCTGTTTATTCTCAAGGAATTTTCCTTTGAGAAAATGGTGCCATCTGCCAGAAGAACAGTCACATGTGTTATAATAGAAATGTATAAAAAAATCCATACACTTCAACCAGCATATTAGTATTGCAGTCATCAAAGATACTTCAGCCCTGATGATGTACTGTGGAACACAGCTCTGTTTCCCCCATCCAGTTTGTCTTGAAATATTCAATCATTGATGGCAGGCATTCATCTGATGACAAATGCAGAATTTCACTCCAGATTTGATCAAATCAAGCTTGTGTTGGTGCATGGAGTAAGCTCTTGAGGAAAGACCAGAGATCAGGGAAATGAGTCAGAGTGAAGTGTGCTTGCCATGCATGTAGCACATGCTACCAGCAGAGAAAGAGATCAGCCTTGGGATATACAGCTTGAATTGCATTCATCTGTCCTCGATCTTTATCAGACATGAATTCCTTCAGGAGAACTTCTGGACTTTGATCACATATCAATTGAAGGTAGAACTTGATTGTATCTTGAGTCCTGTTTGATGGTAGCATCCATGCTGTAGGCATACCTAGACATGCAAAATACAAGTTAGAACATGACCAGATACTAAAAATGTAGAGCAATGCACCATGTTCCCAGTCATCATGAACAAGCAGTGTGAATAGGTTCATATTCTTGTACTGGTTTGTGCAGTGTGTTCTGTCAATAGCTGCAAATCTACCATTCCCATATTTGCACCAGCAAGCATGCTGATATAGGGTCTAAATAATCAAAAAGAAGCCACATGGATCTAAGCTAAATCTAAAAGGCATAACATCTAGGCTAGTCTTTAAAAAACACAAAGCATCCTTCAGTTTGAAGCATGCTAACCCACTTGACAAGTGATTGGCCATCATCTGGATCAAGATGCATGATTTCATTCAAGACTTTCTTCTGGATACATTGAGCATCATGAGAAGAAAAGTGCTCATCATGACTAAGAACCTTTTCTCAGAGTCAGAGCTTTGGATATAATTTGATTCAGCAAATGCATTACCATGAATATGTTTGAGCTAGGCAAGTGCATATCAAGATGTGTTCTGAACTTAAATACGGTAGTGATCTCTTACCACTTCAGTGACATTCATCCACTGCAGACCATTTCCTCAGCTTCATGTCATGTCTCTCAGGAGATATTGGTGTACAAAATGTTCTCCTTCCCAGTCTCATGGGAATGCATCTCATTGTACTTGTCATGTAATAGATTTGTATCTGGATATCACTTGACCTGAAGTCAGGAAGGGCCACCATCAAGAAGCTGTTTAACAGGCAACCTCCAATCCCAGTTAGCAGCTTTTGCTGATTTCAGACAGTTTTTCTTAGCATCCCCACCTCCTTCTCATGCACAGACATACATCCATGTGTCAATCCAAGCTCAGTCTTTGATAGGCTTCTTGTTGCAATGTGTTTTCTTGAGATTAAATTTGATCTATTTTGCCTTTATCTTGCTGTTCAACCATGCCTGAAACTCAATTTCTGAGGCACACTCGAGTGAATAGCCATGGGATTTGTCAAATTTGAAGTTATGAACAGTTCCATGATGACATGATAGCTTGTGAGGACCCCCAGTTTCATTACTTGGTTCATCGGAGACATAGAAGAGTCTAATCGGACTCAAGTTTGCAGGTGACTGATCAACAGTATGGGTCAGACTGATAGGATCAGGAGTCTGCAGGGTGGCAGAGAATGATTGCAAAGTGGCTTTGGTTTCAATCAGTGGGGTGATATCAGGTGTCGATGCATTGATAGAAGGCAGCAGAGGAGGCACAGTGTGATCAAGCTGAAATTGCCCTAAGAACATGATAGCAGGGTAACAGAGTCTAGCAGAGCTGACAGACATAGTGAAAATATTCAGAATATTCAAATAATACCTTTATTAACATGTTGGAAAGACAATGAAATAAGGAATATACAGGAAACTATTGTCTTGAGGCTGGTGTTGCAACTGCAGCCTATTTATGCATGTAATTTTGCAATCTAACACGTTTTACATGCACACTGAGATATAGTGAGTGAGCAGACTAAAAATCTGCATCGACACTGATGCTAGACAGTGCACTGATATGGAATATAACTTATGGCATAGGAAGCAATGGGATTCTAAACAGGACCAAGTGAAGCTATGGAACTAACGAGAGATCTAAATATAATGTAAGGACAAGAAATCCTTGATTTCTTGGTTTGGGGGGGAGAGAACTTGGCTTTGAGCAAACTGTGAGTTGAGCAGAAGTGAGACTGGCAATGAAACCAGTCCTGAGATGAATACCAGGATGTAGAGATGCGGGAAGCTCAAACTCATAGCGGTGGAAGCCGAGAACTCAGTTGTTCAGGGAAACCTGAAATCTGAGCAGCTGAAAAGATGTAGCTGCAGTGTCAGACCAGGCGCTACCCATCTCAAAGTGAAGCTCCCAATGAGATGGGATGGTGTGCAGCAAGTACTGGAACCCCCAAACCAGAGCTGAAGCTCGGGATACTTCAAAGAGATTCATTTTGTAAGTAACAAGCTAAGTTTGACAGTAAGAGTACATTATTCTATGGATATGGATGCAGGCAAGCAGTGTCTAATACAAAACTGTTCAAAGGAGTTCTTCAGTTCAGCTATGCAAGTGGGATTGTATGACTTTGTGATCATGGCAGGAATAAGGTCCTCTAGCTTATGCCAATAGATTAAGAATGCTAGAGATTTCCAATGGCCCTGCTTGGCTACCATCTCTGGAGGAACGCCTGCCAGTAAGAGCTCTGTAGCCCCACCTGGCATGAAGCTATGGCCATGGATGAAGTCCAGATTCAGTGGTTCCCAAATTTTGTGACATCAGTCAAGAAACCAATCCTTAGTCATGGGTGCCTATGATGAGTCTGAGGTCTTGAAAGTGAAGAGTGGAGCATTGTCCAGGACATCTTTGTTGGACTTCAGATGAGCACGAAGGGCTTCAACTGGGCATAGGTTCTCCCTGGAGGTAAAGATGAGGTCCACACCTTCCTGCTGTTCCATATTGGCCCAAGGAATATGGAACTGTGCAGACTCTGCACCTCCAAAGTGTCTGCAGAAGGAGATTTGGACTGATTTGGCAATGTGGAGCCATTCATCAAAGGCATTCCAGGAAGGGATAGTCAATTCTCCTAGATGGCAGCAGCCCCAGAAGGCACATAGTGCTACTGCCCAGATGGCAACATCAAAGGAGTTTGACATGTGCAAGCCTTCACAAAGGGCAAAAAGATGTTCGAGCATGACATGATGGTGTTTAGGATGAGATGGGCAGGCTCCACATTTGGCAGCAGCTGTTTTGATATGAACCACAAATTCTTCACCACCTGACCACTCTGCAGAGTTAATTTCATGCCAGGCTCAAAGGCCTGACATCCAGGCACTGATAGTCTTGCCCAGGGTTTTGGAAACTGAAGCATCAGCCACAAAGGCTGCAAGAAGAAGATAAGAAGTGGGCATGCATTCTGATTCTGGGATGTTATGTTTGTCAGCAAATTGGTGAAACCAATGATGAGCCTAAACTTCCATGGCAATGGCAAAAACCAAAACTCTAGAGGAGTTTGTGGCAAATGGCGTGTAGCAGCAATAAAGGCTTTGTTGTTGTGTGAGTGTTTTGGTGCACCTCTGTGTGATGAATTCCTCAAGAATGCAAGTATACACTGTGACTTTGCAGTCAGTGGAGTAGTACCCTTAATGAACGAGTACTAGAAAGCATTGGCTGTAAGCCAGGAAGGGTCTCAATGTATGAGAAGGAACAGAATCTGGTATAACTGGGAATACTGGCAAACCATGAATGAAGCGATGGCAATTAACTAGTAAAAGCCGTGGGCAGAATTGGCAGAATGAATGGAAATGCCATCAAAGAGAAATACTGTTGGCAAGATAACAAATACCATGATGGCAAGAGACAAAGACTGTAGTCAAGAAACTGGCAGTAAAATGAAGTCAGACTGACTGGTGGAAATATGAAAGGGAACTAGTGGCGGCAAATGATGAACAGAACTGAGTGATGATGAAACTAAAACTGGGCTGAGGTTAACTGTGGTAAAATGAAACTGATCCTGATCCTGAGTCTACATGGATACTGAAGCTGACAGCAAGATAACAAATACTGAGACTGGTGATCCTATGCTGAAACTGATGGCAAGATAACAAATACCATGACTGAAGGTCCTATACTGAAACTGTTGACTGAAATTCTGTGACAGACACTGCTGGCAGCAATAACAATCCTAATCTGTGTCCACATGGGGACATAACTGTACTGAGCTGAACTGGGGTGAAATGATGGCGATGTAGAAAGTGAAGGCTGGTAAAACAATGCTGGCTGGTGAAAGTGAAACAATGCTGGTGGAATAAAAGATAAAAGCAAGTTGTGGACATGAAATTCCGTGTATTGGTGCAATATGATCGTACACCAATACCGTTAGAAGAAAAGCCATGACAGAGAGTATAACTTGGAGTGACTATGTTGTTATTGTCTATCTCCTAGCAAGTACAAGTGATAACGGTGGTCGATAACGTGGATGATGGCTAGTGTCCAGTAACTTGTGTCTAGCAACTACCTATTTTCCATGGTGTATACTAGCTTTTATACTACAATTCCGGAATAAATTTAAAATACTTGAAGCGAGTCCTTAGTAAGTCCGTAGTACATAGATTGGTAAGAAATGATGCCAAACACATGTTCCCAAGGTTCTAAAGTAACAGCACCCACATGGTTTTACTGTGTACTGTGGTGCGAAAGTAACAGCACCCATATGGATTTACCGCATATAGATGAAGTGATTAGCAAGAATGCCACTGATCTCCGGAATTTTGAGCTGCTGTGTTGCTGCGGCAAAGTACATTGAAGCAAGTGTACTGAAGTAGATGCTTGTGGCAATCTCTTGGCAGTAGAACAGCCTTAGTAAAGACTGAGGAAAGGTCATGGCATTAGAGCTAATGCCACGGAATTGCTATCTGAGCTGCGGAATTGCAGCTGTGCTAGGCAATCAGATGGGATTCTAAATCCATGAGATCGACAATCAGGTGCCTGGCAGAATTAATGAAAGGGGCACGTAATTGATGTGGGGTACAAGTGGGGAAGGATAATTGGCGGCATTAAGCAATATTGCTGGGATTGAAATAGTAGGTTTGTGTGGTGGCTGGAGAATTAAATATCTGGTAAAATCCATGAATTCTGAGTGTACAGAGCCTGGAGGCTCATCAGCGCCTGATACACATGGGCACTGGCCCAATTTTTGCTTTGTGCCATCACATCCTTGTTTCTCGTTTCAAAGTTATTTCACTTATCCTTCTGCATTTCAAACCAATTGCCTATTGCATACGCATTGTATTTTGCCAGGATTGAAATAGTAGGTTTGTGTGGTGGCTGGGGAATTAAATATCTGGTAAAATCCACGAATTCTGAGCATACAGAGCCTGGAGGCTCATCACCGAAGTAGACCAGCACCATAATTTTGGAGAGTTGAGACTTCATGTGTTGTGTGAATTAAGGACTGGATAATAGCAGTATCGTGAGGAACCTCATCGTAAAGCTTTTGGTCAAATGAAATAGAATGGGGTGATGTCCAACAGAAGAGCCTATCCTCCGCTAGGACAAAGGGGTGGTATACATTATATTCAATTTCACAGCCTTCACGAGGCTTTCTTGCTTTTGTTCGGTCAGATGGTAGACACGGAGGAATCACCAGGGGTGGTGGTTCCCTACTGCTAGCCTCAATAGGACGTACTGCTGGAAGGGTAGTGGACCTGAATCTAATGAGAGTTAGCAAATTGAAGGGGGGGAAGAGTGCAAGTCAGGTCTAACCTAAACATGGCAAATGAAAGGTGTGAGCTCATCTGGGAGCTGGAAGTACATTCTAAGCCTCATTTCTGGTGGGCCCAGATCTCTGTGTGAGATTGGGTCTGCCAGGTTCTTGGCAGATTCAATGTAGGAGAGAGAAATGTTGAGCATGGTGAGTGTTAACTGCAAGCCATGGACTATATTTAGATTACTGGTACATACCTGATTAGTCTATTTTTTTCATCACGGCATCTCAGTGTTCAACCAACATCTTCACACTGAGATGTATGTGTATACTCACTATATTTCTATTATACTATTGCTAATTGTACCTATAGATATACTTCATACTCATACATATTCTATAGAATCCTTTTCCTCTCACAACTGTGCCTTCCCTTCACATACACCCCGGTCCACTGCTCAAGAGGTTATAGGCCCCAGTGATATGAATACCACCTCCACAGTGAAGCTTCTCAACCTGCCCTGGCTCAAAGATGATGGGAGCAATTGGATCCTCTACAAAGAGCAAATACCCAATGCAGCAACCTCAAAGGGACTAAAACATCACCTCACTGGAACCGCAAAGAAGCCAGCTGAACTTTCTGAAAGGAATGGGGACTATTACAAGCTGGGAGAACTTGCACCACTGTCCGACGACGAGCTTGAAAAACACCTAAAGCTCCAGGATGAGTATGACCAGAAGCAGGCCTTGATGTGAGAGATCTTTTACGAGACAGTCTCAAACTCTACATTCATGCAAATAAAGAACCAACCGAGTGCAGCACATGTATGGGCTGCACTCATAGCCATCTTCGAGACAAAAGGGGACCTCATACAGCAAGATCTCCTCTCGCAGTTGCAAAACACATGATGCCCAGAGGATGGTGACATTCATGCACACCTCTCAAACATGGAATGCATGGGTGAGGAACTTGCTGGCATGGGCACTGTCATCACTGATCAGTCATTCTGCATGTACATTCAACAATCTCTTCCCCCCCAGTTACCATCCAGTCCTGAAAATGCTCAGCATAGCAGCTAAGCTAACAAGCAAACCCATAACAAGCACCGTGCTCATCCAAGAAGTCTTGGAAGCTGCCGACGAGATGAAAGTTGAAAAGAATATCGACGAAGGAGTACAGAACTCCGCTCTCGCAGCAAGTGCTAGGGCTGCAAAGGACAAGGGAAAGGGAAAGAAGAAGGGAAAGGAATCAAAAGAGAAGAAAAAGAAGCACTGCATGAACTGTGGCATGGACAACCACATCTTCGATGACTGCTTCCGTGAGGGAGGAGGCAAAGAGGGCCAAGCACCTTGGGACTTGAAGAAGAAGAAAGATGGCAACTCGGCCAACATTGCAGGCCAGTCCTCAAGCTCTGAAGTCAAGAGCTATGGCTTCACTACAATAATTGACGATGAGAACATGGAGCTTAGCACCACGTCTGACTCTCACGCCCATGCTGAAGCATTAGCTGCCTTGCGCATATGCTATGACAGTGAACTCGTTGACATGGGAGCCAGCCACCACTTCTCACCTGCCCAAAGTAAAATGATCAACTTCATGGATATCAAGCCAACACCCATCCGCACCACTGATGGACATTCATTCAATGCTATTGGCAGAGGAGACTACATCACATACCTGCCAATGGGCCATGGCAAGCCAGCAACCAAGGTCACCCTCTACAACATGTACTACTCCCTGCACCTAGTATTTATGCTAATATCAGTCAGCTGTCTTGATACAGCAGGCTATTCACTTACAGTTGAAGATGGAAACTGTTATATGAAAACCCCAAAACCCGACAGACACGTCATTGGGATCATGCCCAAAATCAATGGACTCTACCATGTACAAGGCTCCACCAACCATCACCATAGCAAATCCCCCACAGCAGCTGCTGCTACCCCTCAAATCAGTATCTCGCAGTTCCACCACATGACAGGACATGCAAGCCATGAATCCCTGAAGCAGAGCATATGTAACAGGGAGATTATCACCCCCAACGTTGACCTAAACTCCAAACCGGAGTTCTGCTCAGCATGTGTGCAAGCTAAAGCTGTGATGAAACCTTTCCCAAAGCATAGTGACAATGAGTCAGCCAAGAAATATGGTGACAAGGTCATGGGAGACATATGGGGACCAGCCAAAGTCAAGTCCCTTGGTGGTTCAAAGTATTTTGCACTATTCAAAGATGTCACAACGAGGGAGTGCCTACCATACTTCATGAAGAAGAAATCGGAGACATTGCACTGCTACAAGGAGCACGAGGCCTGGATGAAAGCCCAACACAGAGTAGACATTGTGAAGATATTCGGGTGTGACCATGGAGGAGAGTTTATGAGCAAAGAGTTCAAATGACACCTTAAATCTGCAGGGACAATACATCACCTCAATGTCCATGACTCGCCATCCTCAAATGGAATGATGGAACAAGAAATGCACACTGTGCTTGAAGGTGCCTGAGCCATGATAATTGCAGCTGGGCTGCCCAACTATCTGTGGGCTGAAGCCATAGCCTACAACTGCTGGCTGAGAAACCGGCTCCACCACAGCACTCTCGCTGATGAAAAGACAACCCCACATAAAAAGGCTACACAAAAGAAGCCCAACATGTCCAATCTGCACAAATTTGGGTGCACCATGTGGGTGAAGCAACTTGGACAGGGGAAACTACAGCCTCGTGCTGATCCTGGCCAATTTGTAGGCGTTGATGAAGAGTCAAAGGGTATCTGGGTCTATTGGCCTGGAAAACATTGTGTCAGTGTTGAGAGAAACATCTACTTCAATAAAGATGAAGACCTGAGCAAAGAAACCATCAAAATTGAGGGGGAGTACAAAACAATTGTCAATCCTGATGGATTCCATGCTACAAATGACACTTGTGACAGCCCAAAAGGGACCAAAAACAAGGGAGACGAACCTGCTGCACCTCAAACACCCCCTACAGACACTCAAGACACTCCAGAAAACCCGCTGTCACCACTAACACCTCTATCAACCCCACCATCAAGCCCAAATCTTGCACCACACCAACACAGGGTCCAAATTGAGGACATTCCTGACAAAGATGACCCCCCAGCCTGACCCCAATGAGGCTCATGCAAGCCAGAGGGTTTCTACAACATCAACCGAATGTCAAAGGCTGCTGGTGTCACTGCATGTGTCCTTGAAGATGATGGGAGCCTTGAACCTGGCAGAATGGACTATGATATGAGTGAGGAAGAATGGTTTGCCAACCTAGTCGAGTCAGCACCAGCCACAACCAACAGAGAGCCAGATTCCATACAGGAGGCACTGAAGAGACCACAAAAACAGGAATGGAAGGACGCCATCAAGAGGGAGCTAAGCCAAGTCAAAGGCTTACATATGTATAACATAATCCCCACTCCACCCGGGGTCAACATTGCTAAAAACAGATATATGTTTCATCTCAAGAAGGATGATCAAGGCTGTATTGTATGATACAAGGCCTGGCTCATCCTAAAGGGGTTCTCTCAAATTTACGGTGTTGATTTCCATGAAACATTCACTCCAACAGTCCGTCTAACTACCCTACATGCATTACTATCTGTAGCTGCTCAGAAGGATGCCAAAATACACCAAGCAGACATCAAAAATGCCTACCTCCAGGCCGACCTCCATGAAACCTTGTATATGGAATTGCTGCCGATGTATAAGGAATTCAGGGAGATCCCCAACAGACTCAAGGGAAAGGAGCTATGCTGTAAACTGCATAAGCCACTGTATGGAAGTAAACAGGGCATGCATGAGTGGTACCAGAAGCTGAGACAAGTATTCCTCATTCTTGGATACTCCATATGCCAGGCTGATGAAGCAGTGTTCTATAAATTCAGCAAGGACAAGTACACCATTGTCACCGCTGCTACAGATGACTTCACAATCATTGCCGACTCCAAAAATGCAATAAACCTCATCAAGAAGCAGCTCAGAGAGCACTTCGAGATGACTGATCATGGCAAGATCAAATGGCTGCTCAGTATCAGCATACACCACAACTGTGAGGCCAGGACCATCACCCTAGGCCAACACGTGTATGTTGACAGCATCATTGAATGGGCTGGCCAAAGCAAAGCTAGAGAAGTTGTTACACCAATGGAACCAGGAATCGATCTGAGCTATGACTCACCTTTGGTATCCACCACCGTACTTCCCAAGGCAGAGCATTCCCTCTATTGTGAGGCAATCGGCCATCTTATGTATGCCTCCTTCACCACATGACCTGATATTTCCTATGCCATGTCAACGCTGTCCTGTTACATGCAGGAGCCAAGGACTACCCACTGGCATGCCATCCTGTGAGTATTCAAATACCTGAAAGGAACCCAGGACTACAGCCTTACTCTAGGAGGGAAGAACATGCACATATCAGGCTATTCCGATGCAGACTGGGCTCAGCAGATGCATAGGCACTCAATTTCGGGCTATGCCTTCTTCATAGGGAACAGAATCATATCCTGGAGCTCTAAGAAGCAGCCAGTCATCACTCTATCCAGTACCAATGATGAGCCTCCAGGCTCTGTATGCTCAGAATTCGTGGATTTCACCAGATAGCTAATTCCCCAGCCACCACACAAACCTACTATTTCAATCCCGGCAATATTGCTTAATGCTGCCACTTATCCTTCCCCACTTGTACCCCACATCAATTACGCACCCCTTTCATTAATTCTGCCAGTCTTCTTTCATTAATTCTGCCAGGCACCTGATTGTTGATCTCACGGATTTAGAATCCCATCTGATTGCCTAGCACAGCTGCAATTCCACAGCTCAGATCGCAATTCCATGGCATTAGCTCTAATGCCATGACCTTTCCTCAGTCTTTACTAAGGCTGTTATACCACCAAGAGATTGCCGGAGCCTGCTCATTGTATGCTTGACTGAAGTGTGAGTCACATCATGAGTTTGACCTTGTTTGTTGTACTAGTGGCTTACATTTAGCCAAAGCTTCTCTCAAGGATCTTCATTGTCAACCATGACAGTGAACATCACCTATGAGCAGTACAGCATCTAACACATTTAACATCTTCGCTGGTTTCCTAACTGCCATCATCATACTCGTATTCTGTTTCCTATATGGATACCTCCGATATAAGCGATGACACCATGCCAGAGTCCCGCAGACCCCTGCTCCTGGGAGAGTATACTACGGGCTCAACGGACAACCTAGACGCACCCCATTCCACTATCGAAATGCCAGCACCTTCAGATTCAGACACAGCACTTCGACGTCAAGGAACGAGAACGTCCACACCAACATCCCAGTCCAGTGAGATGAAGAAGATGTGGAAGGAGAGGTTTGGATTGGCGGAGTCGAAGAGCAAGACGATGCCAACAGAAGGGAGCAGTGGGTCCTCACAGATGGGATTCTTCAGGCATCTGCAGACCCCTCAGATGAAGAATACGGGATCACTGAAACCAGGGTCGACCTCAGCACCGGCGGAACCATCGTCGGCCCAGGAACTCATCCCCATTCCACCTGCCTCTACCTCAGTACCGAGCGAGGGGAAGAAGTTGTTATGGCCTACCACGGATTCTCCCCTCATGCCCCTGATCCAGACGAGATCCCACAGCCAGAAGAGTTCTACTCACAGCAGCAGCATGACTGGGCGATCATGGATGCATGGCACCAAGCCAACCGGCTCCTCCCACTCGAGGATGGGGAGATACCAGAGTTCGATCTCCAGTACCCAGACCTCAGTATCGCAACCGGGAGAAGCAACACCGTGACAAAAGGGGGAAGCCCAGCACCTGACCCTGGAGAAATATCCGATGTTGATCCCAGGGATACCTCCGGCCCTGACTCTTATGACTCATGGGTCACAGATAACGGAGAACATAACCCCTACACCCTCCGAGACGAGATCGCCGACCACCACCTCAGCCCATATGGAGAGTGCCGTGGAGACTTATGCTGCCGGCTTCAAGCCATTGCTGAAGACCAGAGGCAAGACTGGGAGACCCCCAAGCCCCTCGTTCCCTATGTCAGGTGGACCCTCGGAGAATATGGAGAAGAGCCAGAATTGGCCAACTTCTTCTTCGACAACCCGGTCCATTCGGAGTGGGACATACTCTATAGAAGATTCCAGGACTTCGCCCATGGAATACGAAACCAGAACCATGCCCTCACCAGAAGGGGAGGTGCCCACGTACCAGAGGGACAAGAGTTCCCCGTACTATCGTGACCCGAGGACCAGCCCCTCTATTTCTGGCCTCGCAATACTGAGACCCGCATCTGGAACTGCTGGTACCTGTGGGAGCACGCTGCCCTCACCGACTACCGATACTGGCTCCCAGAACCCGACACAGAGGAGTCCACTCCATATCCCCAATCAACTCCCAAACCTTGCAATGCAGAAACTGGTAGCTGAAATGGGATGGCTGGAGCTTCTGGAATGGCAGGGAAGCTCCCTGGCCAATGAAGGATCTTGGTTGATCATGGAAGCCGCAAAATTTATGTACTGAACTAACCTGCCAAATGAAATCCGAGATGCCATCTACGAAGACGAAGTCCAGTATCACGCAGCAAATCTATGGAACCAATTACATAATGACCACACCACCATACTATGACCATTTGAACAACGAAGTTACCCACCATACCACTGGGCAACGATTCCTAAAGTGCCCGAACTGAAAGAACCCTCATTACCCCTGGGGAGCAGACTTCTAGGAGGGATGCCAACCGAAGAAGGGGAAGCCCTGCAGGAGCCCCTCCCAGATGTGTCCCAACACACCACAAAGAAGTCCCGGCCCCATCGACCACCGCCTACGCCCCCCCCTCCACCAACGCCCCCATACAACCCCCATCATGACTACGACCTATGATCACTACCGGAGCTGATAGATTTGGAACTACTGCCTGACCCGCCGGGACCACCTCCAGACAGCCCAGAGCTGTGGGAGCTAGAATCAGCCGAGCTCCCGTGGGGGGCAGTCAGGCCAAAAATGATGAAAACCCTGGCCCCCTTCTCAGGGGTCTCTAGCGATGTGAAAAGGTTCCTATCCGGATGCTGTTAGGATCGTGCCAATAGGATTGCGGCAGTAAGTGCACATAGCGGAATGCCACGGGATGCATCGGGCATAGGTGAAGCTATTAGCAATGTCACCCCTGAGCCGAAGCCCTAAGATGGATACGGATGGAAGTCCGCAGCGTGGCAGAGACGAGGTAAGAGATAAGTCCAACGGATCGGAGTTCCGCAGACTGGAGAACGAGAGTTAGACTTAGAGTCAGAGAGAGAGAGATTGGGCTGAACCAAGTTGATATTTGAACTGAGTATCTACAGTGTAATTCTAAGGCTTATATACTAGTTAGGAGTCCGATCTAGTTCCTACTCAGAGTGGTCTACATTCTAGGGTTGTCGGAGGATGTATTCTACCGGTCGGTAGCCGATGGGGTCCGATGACATGTTCACTACCGATGTCGGGCTATTGATAAATTAATATGGAGAAGTGAAATATAAAAAGGAATATGAAATGGAATATGAAATAGAAACTGGGAATCGGAATCCATAGGATTCCGGGCTGTGGCTTGTTGGGTTGAGTGGGAGTCGGGTTTCTGTCGGCATGCTCATTACAGATGCGAAGACTACTTCAACATATTCCCTCGGGAATTTCCAATGAGTGCGAGGGGATACGCACCATCCCAAATAGTATTCGCCACCTCGTTGATGGAAGGGAAGGCACTGGAATGGTGGATTCAGAAACAGGAACGCCTGTACAATCCCATGCGCTGTCACACCCGATACCCCCAGTGGCCGAGCTTCGATGCAGAAGTCAGGGAAAGGTTCAGGGAAGCGGCAGAAATAGAACTGAAGAAAGTCAAATGGAAGGCGTTACATCAGGTGAACTACAAAAATGCCATCAAATTTTTCCAAGACTTTGAGATGCTTGCTATCGAAGCCAAGAAGTTCGGGAATGAAGAAGAAATGACGGACACCATAAAGAAGGCCATTTGCACTAAAACCAAGGACATCATCATGCACAGAGATAACAATCGACCCCGCAACTACGAGGAATGGAAATGGAGGGTGAAAAGGATTGATGAGAACTATCACGTTCACATGGCTGAAGAAGGAGGAAAACGACCATCGCCGAAGACATACGCCTCGAAGGCCAGTAACCCCAGCACCATAGACCACAAGAAGGATGCCACCGGCACCACCTACAGAGGGCAGAGACTCCTGATGGAGATAGACCAGCTGAAACAGGCTGGGCTATGCTTCCGATGCGGAGGCCCCAGCCACATGGCTAGGGACAACAAATGCGACCCCAACCCCTCCAAATGGAAGATCCCGCCAAAGTCCAATCTATTGAAGCCTAACCCTAAAGCCAGGCAGTACAAATTATCCAAATCAATGATTTGCGCCATGTTGAACGACCTGAACCGACCAGAAGACTTGGCAGATATGACTCGGGTGGAGGAGGTAAAAGACAAGCCGGCAGGGAAGTAAGCGATTCAGTCATGCCGGCAAGGACTTCAGTTTCTACTACACATGTACGTCTCACAGCACATTTGAATATACCCCTGTTGCCGTTAAAGACTACAGAAACTAAGCAAGAATCGCACAACAAAGATGGCATAGAAGGGGATTACCGCCATCCAGAGGACAATGAACCCCAAGGACCTTTGGGTCCGATGTTGCGACTGCAGCCTATTTACGCATGTAATTTTGCAATCTAGAGTGTTTTACATGCATACTGAGAAATAGTGAGCGAGCGGATTAAAACTACGCGTCGACACTAATGCTATGCGGTGCAATGATATGGAATATAACTTATGGCATAAGAAGCAATGGGATTCTAAACAGGACTTAGTCACAGCACTGTACCTGACGGGCATGCGTGATGAGAAGGCCAAACCATATACCCAATGCCTTAGGCTCTAACTTACAAGCACACTTGTGGGAGCTAGATAAAACCTTGAAGATTGCACTGACACTGAGAACACTTAGCGCGCTCGCTAACTGTGACATGCCATACCTGAAAATCTGGGGAAATCCTTAAGCGAGCTGACAGATATCACCGGCATGAGCTTGGGCAATGGGCTTTGGCCGAAGTCCGCAAGCCTGCGTTCCATTGTTCTGAGTCCCATTGTTCGAAGACTCACTTGTTGCCGTGTCTACGAGAAGCCTCTGTGAATCCAAGAAAGAAGTCCTGAACAACATACGCCAGAACTGATAGTTCCGTGTGCCTAGACCTGTCGGTCGCTAGAGAACAAGCCCACGGGTGTCGGGAGAGCACCTCTTGGCACGCGTTTAGCGAGCTCACTATAGAAATGAGACTAAAACTGGGAAGCCTGACTCGGATGCTCAGTAAGGCAGTGGTGGCAACATGCTACGCATGTAGGAGTCTGGGTACTGCATGACGTTTGTAATTCTAATTCCCCTGTAGTATAAGTAGACTGGTTACAGTAGGTAGAGGCGAAGTTTCGAGCCCCCGAGTTCCCGTGCACGCGTTGAAGGCGGTACTGTAACAAAGGATCAGTTTGTGACTTCGAGCTGTGCATAGAATTAGCGAGCTCACTCAGAGAAATACGAGATACCCTTTTGATAAGACTTTTGAGAACTTAATCAGAGTGAATACGAATCAGTGATGCTGTTTCTGTTCTGTTGAGTGTGATAAGTCTGTTCAGAGAATGTGTTGAAGTGGAAATCTGAGATCTGTTCTGTTCTGTTCTGTTCTGTTTCAGTCTGTTCCATGTCAGTTCTGTCGAAGTTCCGTTTCTGAATCTGTTTTCCGAGCACTTCTGAAGTGTTCTTGAGTCGAGATAACCTGCTGGAGTTAGTTGGAGAACCCCTGCATACAGTTGTGTAGCGAGCGGGCTAAGTCAGTGCTTGCCTGTGGTGTTCTTTTAGCGAGCTCACTAAATTTTCGGCATGTATTGCCTCTGTTTCTGTTGGGATCAGTGTCCCTTGTGTATTATAACGCAAATCTGCCTTGAAGGTTGTGTCGCGCCAGTGAACGACCTTCCTGTAAAAAGTTCCTAGACTTAGGAAGTCATTAGAGAAAGCTTAGCTTCACTAAGAGCGCTGAGAATAAGAGAAACTCTTCAAGATATTGAAGTATAGTTGGATCGCATTAGAAATAATCGCTCCCCCTAGAACTTACGAGGGTGATTGTAGTTTGTGTAGTTGTGTGAGTGTGTGTGTGGGTTTTTGAGGTTCACCCTTTAGCCCACTCACTATTCCACAGGTGCCCACAGCCAGCCTCTTCAGCGCTAAGTACTCTCAGTGTCACTGCAATCTTCAAGGTTTTATCTAGCTCCCATGAGTGTGCTTGTAAGTTAGAGCCTAAGGCATTGGGTATAGGGTTTGGCCTTCTCATCATGCATGCCTGTCAGGTACAGTGTGGTGACTAAGTCCTGTTTAGAATCCCGTTGCTTCTTATGTCATAAGTTATATTCCATATCATTGCACCACCTAGCATTAGTGTCGACGCATAGTTTTAGTCCGCTCGCTCACTATATCTCAGTATGCATGTAAAACACTTTAGATTGCAAAATTACATGCGTAAATAGGCTGCAGTCGCAACACTGTCACAGTATTTGTTATCTTGCCAATGGTATTTCTCTTTGACAGCATTTCCATTAATTCCGCCCATGGCTTTTACTAGTTAATTGCCATCACTTTGTTCACGGCTTGCCGGTATTCCCAGTTATACCAGATTCCGTTCCTTCTTGTCTATCAAGACCCTTCCCAGCTTACAGCCAACACTTTCTAGTACTTGATCATTAAGGGTACTACTTCGCTGACTGAAAAGTCGCAGTGTATACTTGCATTCTTGAGGAATTCATCACACAGAGGTGCACCAAAACACTCACACAACAACAAAGCCTTTATTGCCACTACACGCCATTTGCCATGAACTCCTCTAGATTTTTGGTTTTTGCTATTGCCATGGAAGTTTAGGCTCATCACCAAGTCAGAATACATCACCCTAACACATGCATCAAAGGAGCTCATATGGATAAGAAAGCTATTCACCAAATTGATCCACCCACTTGCCCAGCCAACCACACTGTTCTGCGACAACCAAGGAGCCATTGTGTTCTCCAAAGACTCCACATTTCATGCATGAATGAAGCACATCCACATCCAGTTCCACTTTGTCAGGCAGACTGTATCAAAATCCCAAAGCCTGATCAAGTACTGCCCAACAGATGATATGATTGTGGATGCGTTCACCAAGCCCACCCTTGAAATGGGTCAAGCTTGCTAAATTTCATGCATTGATGGGTCTGGCTCCTTCGGATGGCTAGTGATTAGGCTTGAGGGGGAGTGTTGAGCATGGTGAGCATTAACCGCAAGCCATGGACTATATTTAGATTACCAGTACATACCTGATTAGTCTATTTTTTCGTCACAGCATCTCAGTGTTCAACCAACATCTTCACGCTGAGATGTACATGTATACTCACTATATTTCTATTATACTATTGCTAATTGTACCTATAGATATACTTCACACTCATACATATTCTATAGGTACAGTACAGCATTCAACCAATGTCTTCATGCTGAGATATATACTTTATACTCATACATATTCTATAGAATCCTTTTCCTCTCGCAACTGTGCCTTCCCTTCATGTACACCCCAGTCCACTGCTCAAGAAGAAAGCATAATGCTTCTTGTTGTCAGAATGACAGCACTGCATTGAATAGAGAGATTGACTGAAGTGCTTCGACTGCGACCCTTCTCAAAGGTGCCAATGACTCCTTGGTTGTCCAAGTTAGCCAAGACAGTGACGTCCCTCAGATCGTTAGCTTCAAGAATGTATACAAGGAATTCGACTGCTAAAGCCTCAAGCCACCCGATGTTCCTGCCTTCTGATTTCCAGCCTGGACATAAGCTCCAAGCATCCCATCTTCCATTGACTACTACCCCAATACCCCAGTCTGTCGAGGCATCTACTGAGATGTCCCAGTCCAGCTGTGGGCCTTTGGGATCAAACAAGCAAAAGAGGCCTGGCATGGAGAGGGTTGATTCCCACCACTTGAGATCATGAATCATCAGGCTTGTTGGGTAGTGATGAGAGTAACAATTCTCATTAAAACTGGATGCGAAGGAGAAAATTGAAGGAAGGTGGGAACTACCAAGAGGGTAGACAAAGGCAATATGTACTAAGGATCCCTGCAGGGAGAGGGTAGGTGCAAGCAAGGCTGGGTGATTGGAGTACAAGTCGATGAATTGGTGCACATGGTGCAAGAACTTGAGCCTCTTGTGCTCAGGAAGAGAAGCACATTTGTTTTGAACGTCCCATTGAATGCTGATGTAAATGAATGTGGGGGCAAAATCAGACCACTTGGTTTTATGCTAAGGAATGCTAAGCAGTTCAATAAGCTTCTTAGCTGAGGCTATGTTGTAATGCACTAACTTGGATTGCTTGACGTTTACCTCCAAACTGTCACTCACATTTGGTGATTCAGTATGATGGAGGGCATTGCAAACACTAGGTTAGGGACGATAGTCCTTAGTCTTGGAAGCAGGGAGTTTCTGCATGAAAAGTTAGGAGTGTATAACTTTAGCCAAAGCTGGGGTGTAAGACCACAGCAAGGCTCGTTTAAATACATTGTGGTATTTACTAGTATGTACCACTCCTGCGTCTCAGTGCACAGTGTCCCAATGCATCGCTGTCTTCTGGTCGTATGGGACTTGGTATAGGAGAAGCATATCTGCAAGTCAGAGGGATGGTGCTATCCTCAGATGAGCATACGTGGATCCCTGTCATCCTAGGAGAAGCCTTCCTGCGAATAAGAAGACTGGCATCCATATGGCGCCATCCTCTGAGGAGCATACGTGGTGGCTTATCCATCCTAGGATGTGATCAGAGTCAACCTAAAGAAGCGTGACTAGGTAAAGGAGGGTCGGGCCTATAGGAGTGTGATCGGACCCGTGGGCCATCAAACGGATCATGCATGTGATCAATCAGGTCATGAATGGTGTGGATCAGGTATGAGGAATGATGACGAGAGTCGAATGATGAGTTGGTGAGATAAGATAAGATAAGTGAAAAATAGGGGTGAATTCATGACATATGTTATAAGGGTAGTCAAAGCCTGAAGCCTCATCCCCAGCCAAAGAGAAATGAAAAATGTTAAGATCATCGACCCATTTGACCATGGGAGCAACCTTCTCCATTTCCCAAATGTCCATGACTGCATTTGTGATGGTGCCAGCATTGCCCTCTGATGATGCACAGCCAAAAGGGCAGCCATGGTCTATGAAAAAGCCCTTTGAACCTTGGACTATGAAGTATGGCTTGTGTGCCAGTAGGATAGGGCAAGTGCGATGAAATTTGGCAATATCCAGGGTCATAGCCTGGGTGCCTGGGGGAGCATGTGAGATCTAAGGGACTTAATGTCAGAAGACGAAAATTAAATCAAGCAGTTGTTGGGGAAAGAAGTTTGCTAATGATGCTGTGCCATAATGGATAATGGCATGTCCAAATGGACATGTACAAATGTAAAGGCAGTACTAATGTACCACTGACACGTGTGCAACACATTCATATGTGTAATTTTGCGAATCCTGTGAATCCAAATGTGTGTCAATCCACTAAGTAATATTAGAGTGCATACCTGGCATGGAGCAACACCTGTTGAGGCAGAAGCAGCATATAATAAAATAATCCGAGTGGAGCACATGGCTTAGACTTAGAGTGGCACACTGGTGTCATTTAAGTGTGGAGTCTCAGTGCCCTGACTCACACCCTATGCATCCCTCAGCAGCATCTCGCTCAAATAAAATACACTGAAAAGATAATATATTTACGGAGCTTCACGCAACATTGATCTATGATGCGCAAACCCTGCTGATCCGGCAATCACCGAGAGACGTCATTCAGAACTGAGGACCACCCAGTCCGAGCCTCCTGAGAGGGCTTCGGCTGACACGAGAGAAACCCTGTACCCAGAATGAAATATTGAACTAAGAAAAGGTTGTGCAGCAACCAAATATAAATACCAACTTGCTAGCGATGTGCGTGACAGAGGAATTAAAAACAAGGAGCCAATTAGGAGAAATATTCCGCATGATGTGGCAACTCTAGACCTTGCCAAGAAGAAAGAACAGCATGTTATCGAGCACTAACTCAGATGACTGACTCAGGATATTAATTAGTGACCATGTGGACTTAGAGAATTCTTTTGAGCTAGCATGCTATTACATCTTGAAGAGCACAAGACATCTTTTAATTCTATTGTTATTGTGTGCTTGCATCGCACATCTCCCCCGAACTACTGAGATTCTGTGTGTGTGTGAGTGTGAGAGTGGGTGTGTTTAGTGTGTCTATGCTATTGCATTTTGAGCTTGGCGTGCACAGAGCCTCTTCACCGCATATGAATGTATTCAAGGAAGTGCAAATGCGACAGGAAGTACGAATGTATGAGGGAAAGTATGAATGTACAGGGGGAAAGTAAGCAGTAAAAGAGACTCACGATATCAGCCACCTGCGCCGCAGAGCCAAAATGCATTGGGAATTTCTCCATGTCAATGTAGTTATTGGTGGATGGAATGTCCTTGGTGCCCTTGGACAAGTTCCTGACCACATGGAGTTTTGGTTCTTCTCCTGGACCTTGCTCCAGGATGTTTACCAAGAGGGGGGAACACTGAAAGGGACCCAGAATCTCCTCCACCTCAGAACAAGAAAAAGGGCCTGACATTCACCCGGCATCTGCTTCCTCCTGGAGGTATTCATCTATGTAAGCCTTGTGTTCAGAGGAGGAAGTTCAGTTTGGGAAGATAATAGTGTGTTGGAGAGGTGGAAAGTCACCCATGGGAAAGCCATTGCATAGTCTGTATACTAAGTTGGGGTGGAGATGAGAAATGCTATGCTTTTTGAGGAAGAAATCGAAGGCATCAGGATTATACAGTGTAACAATACGGTTTCAGATTGGTGAAGGATCAAGCTGAGGAAGAGACTGATTTAGGCTCTGAGATGCATCACCATGCAAAAGCATGATGGTCAGAACCCTGGCAGAAGGAACAGATGTGGACTGGGGAGGAGCCATGGGAGCAATGGGTGCCTCTTTCTGGTGAGATGTTCCAGGAGATGCAAATCCTCTGGTTCTGGTTCCCCACCTTTGGAGCGATACTACCTCTGTCTCCTGGGACAAAGACAGCCTTGGTGGGCTGGCCTGACTCAAAGGAGCTGAACTTGCATTGATGGATGTGATGTCCCCTTCTGGCACATATAAGGCAGATCACGATGTTGGGCGAAGGGATGCTGGTGTCACTCCTCTGAAAGGACAACATGATCCTTCCTGTGCCTTGGCAGAAAGATGAGGCCAGGGAGCAGGAGCTTTGCTGAGAGGCAAGCTGGTTGTGCATATGGATGTATTCCTCCTCATGTTTGCAATCCCTCTCATCATGGAGTCATTCCTTGGTCTGAGAGAGTCCTGAAGCATAATAAGCTTGAGAGAACTTGAAACCCTTGTCCGAGTTGTGGTAGTTGACTTGGAGCTTTATGTCTGTAGCCAAGATCACCTCAAAGATGAGTGAGAAGTCAATAAGGTTGTGGAAGAAAAGAAAGTGGTCATCCCAGCATTTGGTCCAAGCTTCGTCATGGATGCCACTTTGGGAGGTTCACAATGAAGACATGAAATCAACAAAGTGGGGGGCAGCATCTTGCCATTGCAGCTCCATAAGGTCCACCTCCTTCCTGAACCTAGGGTTAGAGATGTCAAGCACCATGATTTTACCATGGCCACAGTCCTGGATCTTCTTCATGGGCAGGGTATCTTCCTCTCTCTGGATTATGGTGATGTTAGCGAGGGTGAAAAGATACAAGGGGATGTACTGCTTAGCATCTGCTAGGTGGTAGAGCTCTGAGTGATAGCCATCGAAGTGGAATGAAGAGCCTGGCTGATGTTCCACCTCGCTGCAATTGAAGATCTTCTTGCACTTTTCAATGATGTCTTCTGGGGAGTCATCTCCTGCATCTCTCAATCTCTTCTTCAGGCCCAGAATCCCTGAGAACAGCTCCTTCAACTTCAGAGTTATCTTGGCAAGTGCCTGTAGGAATGAAGAAGAGCCTTTGGGGGAAATGGGTGGAGTGGGTGAATGCTGCAAGCCTTCTGTAGTCAGCAGGGAGGCAAGCGATGATGTGGGCAAGCATTCTGGGTCACCATGCTTCTCCAACCTGTCCTTGTTATCAGCCTTTACCAAGACATTTAGAGCTCTCTTGCACATGAGCGACCAGGATGTGAATCATGCCCTAGAATTGTCGCTTCCATGGGTCTTGTCCTTTCTCTGCTTGAGAGGGCTGGTGGGAGGTGAATCTTGCTGAGTATCGAAGCCAGGAGGTGCTAACATTGAAGACTAATATCAAAAGAGAGCAAAGAAGTGATGGAGCGACCAGGATGGAGAAAGCAGAGAGAGAACAAAGCAAAAATACTCTTGCACTGAATGGTGCAGAACAATCACATTGTTTGGCTTCCTCTGTTGAGCCAAACATCTGGCAAAATGCGACAGAATGCTGGGGCAAAGATCTCTCTGTTCGCTACACTTTACTTGGCTGAACACAGAGTTTGAGCTGTTTGTTCCTCATGTCAAACTTGTGTAGCACTTAGTCACAGCACTGTACCTGATGGGCATGCATGATGAGAAGGCCAAACTCTATACCCAATGCATGCCCATCAGGTACAGTGCTGTGACTAAGTCCTGTTTAGAATCCCATTGCTTCCTATGCCATAAGTTATATTCCACATCAGTGCACTGTCTAGCATCAGTGTCGATGCAGATTTTTAGTCTGCTTGCTCACTACATCTCAGTGTGCATGTAAAATGTGTTAGATTACAAAATTACATGCATAAATAGGCTGTAATCACAACAACAGATGCAGAGAGACAATGACAGACCTGGATCAAATTGTCTTTGATTTCATTATGTGCAATTGGCTTCCACTCAAGTGTAAATTCTCACACTGCAGTGTATGAGAGGGCTACATGCTCACTATGAAGGTAGGTCAGGTCAAAAATCAGTGGCCTCCCTTAAACAGGTTGATGATAGGTCAATCTCAGTAGAACCTACCTTTCGTAGGTCATTTGTTTTGACCTAATACAGGGTTGCATTTTTTGATCATATTGGGCCCTTTTTTGTAGGTTGTTTATAGGTCGAAATTAGGTACCTAGGTATATATGTGTCTGATTCGGCATGCACACAGATAGCCTGATGTTAGCACTCCTATATATATTTCAATTGTGGCTTGCTTACACACTACATCGTTGATCTCCCAAGTTCGCACATTGATATCATGTATGCTAAGTGACTACCCTATGTCACAGTCTGGCCCCAGGCCAGGTTGAAGCCAGCTACAGTCAATTTGTAAGCATGGGACTATTTATTTATATTTCATCCCGAATCCTCATAATTGGCATGTTGCGACACATAGTCCTCAAGATGACAGTGTCACGGCTGCAGCAGGCAAAGGCCTGACACTTATACAGGGTCTGCATTGTCCTGAGGCTCCATACATCTAGCATTTTAGGTGATGACTTCAAATTTTAATTAACCTCACCATTGCTCAGCTACAGTGGGCTGGCAATGGCACTTTGATCCAGCCCTGAAACTGGTGATGCATACCACCTAGCCCCACTGACGTTGCAGCCAGTTCACACAGATGTGTCCAACAGAGAAATCATCAGTGATTCAGAAGCTGAAGATGAATACCGAGGGCTTTCCACTATGGAACTGATGTCCCTCGATCTTGACTTCTCATGGAGCTTCCATATGCTTCTCCTCGAGCTGGATGAATATGCATTCGAGTTCAATCCTGCCACCTTGAACACATCTGCCTTATGACAGGGTCTGAAGGGAGCACATGAGTCACTGGCCATGCCAGAGAAATTGGCGAGCTGGATCGAAGCTGGTGATATGATGCAATGGAATACAGCCATGAGAGAGCATAAGATATGGACCTCCTGGTGCAGACGAACTAGGGAAGATGTCAGTGCATGCCATTGTACATGTCATAAGGAATGATTGACATTTATTATACAACATGGTTCTATCCTGTCCTATCAGTCTAAATCTCTATCATCTTCAGAATATACCGCTCGAGCTAAAGAGCCACTTCGATCCATGATAGCCCACTTGGTCTGTCCACAGGGTACTCTTCCGACCAGACATTGCACTGTGGTGATATCTGTAACATGCTGCTGACCCAGCGCAGTATAGAAATGGATGTCGAGACCATCTATTTTCTCGGATTCTATACACTTACAGCTCCTGATGGATGCCATAATAAATGATGATTCAGGCTCCAGCAGACCAAGTTCAGGACATGGAATGGGAAAATGCACAATGTAAATGTGTTCCAGTCAGCCATAAAATGTCTTGCTCTGAAACTCGGTAGGAAGATTGCGCCGTGGAGCGTTCTTGTCAACAAGCATCTTGTACTGTAGCTGTTAGTTAGCCAATGAGAAATCTATACTTTGAATAAAGCCTACCTGAACCCAAGAGGCATCTCGGCTGTCATCGTGAACAACACCTAATTCAGATGCTCTCATTGTATCACCGGCATCCAAGTCAATACATTGAACCTGTCCCCATTCCATGACATTGGCCTGCTGAAGATGTCGTTTGACTGTACCAAGGGGGCACTTCAGGCGAGTAACCAGTGCCCCCTGCAGTGCAGTAAGGGATGAGGCTGAGGGCCACTCTGAGGCTTTTGGTGGGAGAAGCTGACATGTTGGATCTGCCGTACTCTCTTTGTCAAAGATCTCATCACATGATAAGCCACAGTTTACTCACAGGCCAGTAGGTGAAGGGAACCCATTGGTGCATGTTGAGAATGCCATAAGGACAACTTCTCCGCTACATCATAATAAGCTTTGATCTGGGTGAGTTGTGCATCTTCGAGAACATGCCATGCAAGCGAAGCAAAGGGATACCGATGGCTGTGAATAGCCGGTTGTAATGCACCACAATACCATTCCATTGGAAAGGCCCAATAACACCAGACAGGCCCAGTTGCACTGATGCTATCAGCGATATGTAAGAGCACATGGATGGTCAGTGGACATGTTGACAGGCGGTCAACATTATACTGATAATAAATTCTAAAGATTATCCATTAGCGAGTGAGCATAGTAGTCATGCAGCAAAGATTTACTTCTCATAGTCTTCAACCCAGCTTGCAAAGCCAGTCCATATATACTCAATCTCGGTGTGCAAGATCTCGAATTGTAAGCAGACATTGAGCAGTTGGACAAGACGTATGAAATGATTGTAGTAGCACTCTGCTTTGAAGCACCGTTGAAGGAGAACTGGCCCAAGGTATAGCACCCAAAATGACCACATCTCAGCAGATATGTACACACCATCACCAGCAATATTAGGCACACGTGCCCCATAAGCTGAGGGTACAGTTGATCCTGCCTTTGCAGTAGCCTCACCAATAGCCTTCCATATGCTCTTGTCCAACTCGTAAGACTCTGTCCCCTCGTCAAGACCCTTAAACTTGCCAGTCCAATGAAGGACCAGATTTTTAAGGAGATTCTCCCAAATCAGATGCATGAAATTGTAAGGGAACGCCAGAGGGAACTGCAATGAGCAGAGAAAAAAGAGTATAGATGGGCCCTTTATTCCTGAGGCCTTCGACTGCCGGTCTGCTTCAGCATTTGTCGATGCAGACTCAGCAGATTTTGCCTGCTCATACATCTCATCATGCGAGCGAAGTGGAAGTTTGAGCGGGTCATACTCTTTGGTGGCTGAGGGTGAATCCATCACATCCGGGTGATTGGCATGGTACAATGGCACATAATGTGTGTTTGCAGATGAGTTGGGTACTTTCAAACCAGTGATCTTACACATGCGACACAGTGAGAAACCATTATGATCCTTCATGCACATAACCATGGAAACAGCAGGTATGTCCCCAAATACAAGGATCAAGTGTGCACAGAGACAGAACATCGATCCTGAGAGAACATCGAATATGGGAATTCCAACTGCTAGCCGTAACATCTCCTGGACAAATGGTCATAGAAATGAGCAGGAATCCTTTGGCTTTTTGGGACCAGGGATGACACCAAGGGAGAGAATGTTCTCGAGATGAAAGCGGATATCATGAGGGAGATTATAATTGAAGAGGATGAGAGGCCAGCATGTATGCTTTTGATGCTTGAATGGCCCAAAGTCATCAGTGGACAGGCCTAGGGCTATGTCTCGCCAGTCACCAAAATACCGATGGCAGTAAATGCGTTCACCAACCTGGACAAACTGGCACAGCAAGTTGCAGTAAATGCTACCATCAAACATGTCCTCAACGTTTCCCAACTTATGCTGGTGGCCCTTTGCACGATACTGCATCGCTTCAGCCATCTTTTGATTCATGGCAAAGGCATGAAGTCAGGGGATGAGAGGAATATACGTAAACTTCTTGCGAGCCTTGCCATCTGCATGATAACGAGGTTCTTGACAAAATGGACACTCTGTTCATTTCTCATGGGACCCTGTATAGCAGATGCACGAGTTTGGGCAGCAGTCATACATCTCAGGTTCAAAACCTGCCAGGAAGGCAACATGAGAGCAAACACTATCCAATTTTGGCAGTGGTGGGTTAGAGGGAAATGCGAAGGGAAGCTTTGCAAAGTCTCAGTCTGTCGTGTGTGTCTGAACCTTGTAAGAAAAGGCTCAACAGATGGCGAGGTCATATGCATCAAGTTTCTCTGCTAAACACAGGTCTATGAGAAAACGAAGCTGGGTGCTATCAAGATACATACCTATGCTTGCAAATTGCTGGTAATAGCCTGCTCGAAGCTCATCCCAAGCAGACAAATGGCTGTCTTTACCAAACCCACAAAACTTGTCCCAGTCAATCCTCCCAATATTGTCGAAGTCATCATCCTTGTCAATGGCATGGTTGTCCTCTCATGGCAAGATTTCCTCATCCTCAGCAATGTCCTCATCATACTCGTCGAGATCATCTAGGACCTCCCAGGCAGCTTCATGCAAATTTGCAAGTCTCTCTGTATCCAAAAATCCTAGTGACTCAAAATCCAAATCCAGCCCGACACCAAAATCCTCTCCGAGTTCCAGGGAATCATCTCCATCATCCTCAACATTTCCTGTGAGCCCATGAACATCCTCCAAGCAGCTGTCACTTTCTCTTTCATTCCCATGCAGAGTTCCAGCATCACTACTGGTATCAGGAGCAGTATCAGCAAAACCTAGGTCGTCGTATTCTGCTGCCTGATTGCCTGAGGTCAAGTCCATGTCAGACTCATCCTCGCTGGTTGTAGTCTGTTCATCATCACCGCTGTCAGTCACTGCCTGGACTCTATGTTGTGAATGTGGGGATGTAGCTGGATAGGGGGTGTAACGAGAGCTTCGGTGCTCATGCTCATGCCTACAAGATGTGCTTTTCTGGCAGATGTTGCACCAAACTGTGTTTTGTTGGGAGGATTTTTTGGGACCCATACTTTTGGAGGAGATGAGACAGGCTAGAAAACAGAGAGAAGCACATGACTTACACAGAATTTGAGATGTATGTCTCAGAGTTCAGCCAGTGCCCAAGTCACGTTTGGTTGGTTGGTTTGTTGATTGGTCTTCAACATTGACTCTCTCGCTGTTCATCTCCATCAATATGGCTAACCGCCCACTCCAGGATAAGACTAACCAATCTCAAGGGCACAAAACAAGAAGTAAAGTCTCTAAAGTGCCCACTAACACCCAGACATCTGCTAGGACATCCACTGGAATGGACGATGCTGCCAGGCCTACCCGCAACAAGAAAGATGCTACTGTGCAGCTAATGCTGGAGAGGATGGCTAGGCTGGAAGGTGAGTAATGGCTGCAGTTGATCATCTGAGTATGCTTACTCTCTCAAATATCAGCTCAAAGTTCTGACATGGCCACAGAGAATGTTAGACTCTGACAGCAGCTGAATGAAGCAGGAATAGGCAGGGTCAGCAACAACATTGATGAGCCTCAAGGCTCTGTATGCTCAGAATTCATGGATTTTAGCATTATAATAAATGCCTTGTCCACTTAGCAGACTTTCACTAAGTCAACGATTGCAATCACGGCAATATCCACTCTTACCGCCAACTATCCTTCCCAGCTCGTATTCCGTATCAATCTGCGCCACTTCATTAATGCTGCCAGGCACCTGATTGCAGATCTCACGGATTTAGGACCATCATTGATCGCCCAGCACAGCCATCAATGACATCAGCATCAAGCATCATTTAGAAGAATGCCACAGTCAAAGTACCAACTCCATGGCAAAAGACCTAATACCGTGACCTTTCCACTCACTTTACTAAGGCTGTTACAATGCCAAGATAATGCCGCACACATCTACTTCAGTGTACTACCTTCAGTGTACCTTGCCGCAGCAACACAGCAGCCCAAGAGTCCATATGTCAGGGGAATTCTTTCTGATCATTAAGTCTATATGCGGTAAAACCATGTGGGGGCTGTTACTTTAGAACTCTGGGAGCACATGTGTTTGGCATCATTTCTTACCAATCTATGTACTACGGACTTACTAAGGACTCGCTTCAAGTATTCTAAATTTATTCCGGAATTGTAGTATAAAAGCTAGTATACACCATGGAAAATAGGTAGTTGCTAGACACAAGTTACTGGACACTAGCCATCATCCACGTTATCGACCACCGTTATCACTTGTACTTGCTAGGAGATAGACAATAACAACATAGTCACTCCAAGTTATACTCTCTGTCATGGCTTTTCTTCTAACGGTATTGGTGTACGATCATATTGCACCAATACATGGAATTTCATGTCCACAACTTGCTTTTATCTTTTATTCCACCAGCATTGTTTCACTTTCACCAGCCAGCATTGTTTTACCAGCCTTCACTTTCTACATCGCCATCATTTCACCCCAGTTCAGCTCAGTACAGTTATGTCCCCATGTGGACACAGATTAGGATTGTTATTGCTGCCAGCAGTGTCTGTCACAGAATTTCAGTCAACAGCTTCAGTATAGGATCATCAGTCATGGTATTTGGTATCTTGCCGTCAGTTTCAGTATAGGATAGTCTCCGTGTAGACTCAGGATTAGTATCAGTTTCGTTTTGCCGTCGTTAACCTCAGTATAGTTTCAGTCTCAGTCCAGCCTGGTCCCAGCCATCGTTTTGCCATCACTAGTTCCCCCTCATATCATCGCCAGTCGTCTTATCTTCGTTTTACCACCAGTTTCTCATTTCTCAACTACAGTCTTTGTCTCTTGCTGTCACGGTATTTGTTATCTTGCCAATGGTATTTCTCTTTGATGGCATTTTCTCTAATTCCGTCAACATCGCCCACGGCTTTTACTAGTTAAATTGCCATCACTTCATTCATGGTTTGCCGGTATTCCCAGTTATACCGGATTCCGTTCCTTCTCGTCTATTGAGACCCTTCCCGGCTTACAGCCAACGTTTTCTAGTACTCGATCGTTAAGGGTACTACTTCGCTGACTGAAAAGTCGCAGTGTATACTTGTGTTCTTGAGGAATTCATCACACGGAGGTGCACCGAAACACTCGCACAACAACAAAGCCTTTATTGCCGCTACGCACCATTTGCCGTGAACTCCTCTAGAGTTTTGGTTTTTGCCGTTGCCACGGAAGTTTAGGCTCATCAACGTTGATCACAGTGAGAGCAATCCTGATGAATCTGCTGGCGCACAACATCGTGGTGGGCAAGACGAGAGTGTACCAGGCATTGGAATGGTGCGTACTAGCACAGAAGGTCAGATATGATACTATTGCGAAACACATGGTACTAACAGCCAAACAATATATCTATCAACATCATCAGGTCACCGTACTGTGGACCTGTTTGATGATGATTCCAGTGTCAATCTGGAAGGCTCTTCACATGTTCATAATGCTGATGGAGCTCAGAATACCCCAACATCTGGTGCAGCCACTGAGATTGGAGCAATTAGAGCTCCTGCGCACCCTATGCACAGCGTGCCTGTCAACTCTGGTCGCAAGGGAGGAGGCCAGCCAGCCCTGAAAACTGGATCGGAAAAGAAGGTACCTAAACCTCATGGACAGGCAGGAAAGGACTTCTTGATTGCAGAGAAAATGGGCTTAGCAGGGTCGAGGAAAAAACGAGATCGCTACAATGCCCTGCTGGTGAGTGACCAATATATTTGCTGACAGATAACTCACCATGTTTGATCCATCTACACCAAACGTGCCGAATCAGAGAAGTGCACGGGATCTGACACTGAACGCGCATCTCCCTTTTGAGCGCAGCTGGTGTGATATCCCTGCAGCTTCAAAGGCAACTCTTTTTGCAGTTGTGAGTGACTTTCTGCCTCACAATAATCATGCTTACCACTGCTCAGGCCCAAGATGTCCACCCTTTCCTCAGTCATTTCGAAAATGATTGGGCAACCGAGGCAATTGTCCACCAGTATATGAAGAATAAGCGCAAGACCCTTTACAAGGCTGGTAGCCTCGAAAAGCCCAAAGGATACAAGTATCTCAAAGAGAATGCTGCCAAGCGAGACCAGTCGAAATCACACAAGAAAACAGCCACCAAGAACTATGAGGCCAACAAGTTGGAACACAAGAAGGCCAAAGAGTACCAGAGGCACTTGAAGCGGATCTCTAGGAAGGTCATGGAGGATGAGGAGAATGAACAGGAGAAGGGAGATGAATTTATTCAAGGATCATCCAGAGATGGAGATGAAGATGTCGACATGGCTGATGAGGAGAATGACAATGACATCGAAGGTGGAAATTGATCCCACGGCACCAATCAATGATGTCACATGTGACCCATGGTGAGCTTCATTTTGTCACAGTCCTGTGTCACACCAGACAGCTCACTTCCTTATCTTGCTTCTTGTATCGTTTAGCTCACTGCACCCTGAGTCCACACACAACAATAGAGGAATCCATTATGCACTCCATTTACTCCAGATTCTAAGTCTCATTTTAGTCCCATGTACTTGCAGTCTTCAGGGAATGTGATATATATATATGCTATACATGATTGCATGCTATTTACCCACCTAGAAAACCCAGAAAGGAGACAATAAACAACCAAGTAAATTGACCAGTAAGAGGTTATCTTCAAATGACCTGAGGATCAACCTGATTCGGGGTTTTATTGCAGAAATTTTTAATGCAAATGGTCATAGGTCAAATGTGACCAAGATAGGTCACTTCACAACCTACCAATGCCTAGGTCAGTATTCAACCTGGCTAGGTTGTTAATGCACCATTGTCAGGTTTAAAAAGCGCAATCATCAGGTTGGAATGGGATATGATTTTCAACCTAGGCAGAGCGCTCAGAGGCTCTCATCTGGCTCAGCATTAGCTTTCCTGGAAAATCAAGAGAAGCATGCTGCAGGATGAGTGCAGGGTTGAAGCTGAAGTGCCTAGGTGTGTTATCCTCTGTTCCATTGCTGTGCTTAATTGATAGGAGTAGACAATCCTCTATGCCATGTGTGGAGCAACACAAGGATAATAGAGTCACTGTCAACCTTCATCCTACCCAATTTGCTTGATGTCCACACATTCAGTCATCTCTTCAGCATTCTCACATGGACTCATCTCTAGACTCTGCTACAATCCTTATTTGCATGTTGAACATACCACAAGCATATATCCACCCATCCCAGCATTTTTTCTCCTATATATGTCCCCCTGCATAGCGTGTTCCCTATAATCCATACTGCTGAACAACAGTAACAAATCATTTGATGGCCTCCACTCATCAGCATTTGCAGTTGTTGGATTGAGTATACATGCAGGTGCTACATCATATTATTGTCAAGACTAGAGGGTGAGTTATGAAGAAAGAGGATTAATTACTGTCTCCTGCAGAGACTCTACTCATATTTATACAGTTTGAAATTATTCTAGAACTGTCTACTTTACTAAGCATTAGTCCTTTGAGTACCTTCTCCAGCTTTCTATGCACGAGTTATTGAGTTCAATGGTTATTCCAGATATTGCCAGAATGCTGAGAGGTGACTGACTCATCACTGTGTCATGGACTTGGTGGTTGGTCATGTCACACTCAGAATTGATTTCCTTCAACACTCCCCCTCAATTTCAAGGGTATGCACCTAAGATGTTTTGACTTAGATGTTCATGCAGAGGCATTTTTGCCAGTTTGCAGTCCTTCATTCCCATTCTTTCAAGGACTTTCTCTAGGTATGCCTTCTGGGTTAAGGTAATAGTGCCTTTCTCCCAGTTCCTTTCTATCTTCATGCCTAAAATGTGATTTATTTCACCTATGTCTGTCACATTTAGCTTTGACTTGAGTTCTTCTTTTATTTGGGTCATGATGTCATTGCTCAGAGCCAAAATTGTCATATCATCAATGTGCATGGCAATTATAATTGGTCCCTTGACAGTCCATTTTAGATACACACATTGATCATTGAGTAAGTGATTGTATCCAAGCCCCAAAAAGGTGTTGTTCAGCTTGATGTTCCAGACACATCCAGATTGTTTTAATCTGTACAGGGTGAGTTGGAGTCTGGCTGATTGTACAGTTCCATCTGAATATTCTAGTGGCTGTAACATGTAAATGGTTTTATCAAGTTTGCTGTTTAGGTATGCACCAGCTACATCTGTGCCATGCATGATCAGGTTATTTTGGGTGGCTATGGCTAATAATAGCTTAAAGGTGTCAAGTCTGACAATGGGTGCGAATGTCTCAAAAAAGTCAACTCCAGGTATTTGTGGATACCCTTTTGCCACTAGTCTGGCTTTGTACTTGACTATCCTAAGCTTGGCCTCTTCTAAGGTTAAAGGCTCATCACTGAAATTCTCCACAGATTCTAGCAACAAGGCATAGTCTCAGTGCTTTGTTATAGCAACATTAGCACTGTCAAGTGTAATGTTTTCTGTTTTCTGTTTCTGCCCTTGTGACTGGTTGCTTCAAGGTGATAAATTGTTAAGTAAGCAAGAATCAGGCATATTTGATACTGATTTAATTTGCTCTGACTTTTCATGTGGTTCTATGAGCTTTCCACACCATGTAAGTGCTTTTGTTTTAGGTGGTGATAGGGATTCAGGAGTGATATCATTATTTTGATCATTTTGATTGCTCGGATCAGTGGCTATTTTTAGTGTTTCCATTTCTATGCCTCTGCTCTGATACAGCTTGACTTCACTAGTATTTTCTCCCTCAAGCTGCATAGAGGATGGTACAAAGTATTCCTCTTCTGTTATGTCAGCTGTATTGTAGAGTGGGAATAATATATTTCTTGAAGTCTGGATTATCTTAGAACCTGGGTACCAATATCTGTAGGCTTTAGATTCATCACTGAGCCCCACAAATATACATTTTCATGACTTCAGGTCAAGTTTTTGCTGTTTTGCATCCCGCTGTAATACCCGGCATGCAGAGCCAAATTCCTGTAGTGTGGAAATATCTCACTTCCTGTTCCAAAATGATTCTTCTGGAGTGATGTCATCTTCTGATGCTCATGTCAGTGATCACTGATATGCCTGCCAAGTGTACACTCTTGAACATGTGTCTAAAATTCAATTCTAACTACTATACAAGCTGTATTTGTAACTTTCGTAGCAAGTAAGTATAGACAAGGTAACCAGAAAGCAACACAAAGGGGAACAGTGGGACTTAGACAGGGAATGTTTAAGGCTCAGGCAACAGACCTGGTGACCTGATGACTCAGCCTGAGTGACCAAAGGTCCAGGCAGGCTGATGCACATGGCTCCAGCTGAACCCAGCATCATGGCAGTAATGGCTGTTTGATGGTACTGGTCTGAAAGTAAGACAAGAGAGATCACATATGGTGTTACTTACCTGGTAGCCTCCCTAGTCTCCCAGACTAGCAGTTGATTTGCCAGAAAGGCAAGAAACATGAATTATGGAACCAGGGGCTCTGCCCTGGCCTAGAGTGTCATGAATTCACCCCTATTTTTTGCTTATCTTATCTTATCATGGCAAGTCAGCAACTCGTCATTCGACTCTCATTGTCATTCCTCATACCTGATCCGCATCATTCATGACCCGCTCGGTCACATTGCCCACACGGCATTACCTCGCGCCAGGGACTGCATCACCAGGACTCTGTCAATGGGCTCTGCTACCAGACCTCGTAGAAGGCAGCGCCATATGGACGCTGCCCTTCTTACTCGCAGGAGCACTTCCTGCATCATCACGCTCACACTGCATCACCGGGGCATTGCCACAACACAACCATCAGTTCCATCTGATAGGTCCCTGGATTCACCACTCACACGCATGATCCATTTGATGGCCCATAGACCGATCACACTCCTATGGGCCAGATCCTTCTTCACCCAGTCACACTTCTTTAGGTCGACTGTGATCACATCCTAGGATGGACAAGCCGCCATGTACGCTCCTCAGAAGACCGCGCCCTATAGATGCTAGTCTTCTCACTCGCAGGAGGGCTTCTCCTATATCAAGCACCATATGATACAGAGGACATAGAAGACAGCGCTGCATTGGGACAGCACGCACCGAGACACAGGAGCGGTACATACTAGTAAATACCACAATGTATTTAAACGAGCCTTGCTGTGGTCTTACACCCCAGCTTTGGCTAAAGTTATACACTCCTAACTTTTCACGCAGAAACTCCCTGTTTCGTGCCTAAGGACTATCGTACCTTACCTAGCGATTGCAACGCCCTCTTCACAACTGAATCACTGAACGCGAGTGACAGTTTAGAGGCAACCATTGTTCAATCCAAGTTAGTGCGTTACAATTAGCCGAAGCTTGTATTAATACCCCCATCGTTGTTCAACAACGGTGACCATATTGTCTTGCTTGATTGCTGTCACAAGCTCGTCAGCAACAACACTTCTAAAAAGCTACACCCCACAGAGAGCACCGACCCTCACTACCCCATTAGTGAGCGAGTAACGAGCTCTACCTCAACTGCACTTGTCGTTTTCATTAACAGAAGGACCGCAGAATCCGGAGCATTCAAATAAGGAACCTTTGTCGTTATACGACGAATCCTCGGGGTTGCTCACCCCTACAGAAATATTTTGTACTCTCATCATCACTCAACGATGGTGACTGTATGAATCCAATAGGCTCTATCACAAGCCGTACCCCCACTCTAGAAACCTTACTATCCCTAGTAAGGCACCCCTTGTACCGCAGCACTCGATCCTATCCACAACCACGAAATGGATCAACTCCCATTTGCCCCAACACCAGGGACAACCTCCAGACCCAATACCCCGGAAGTCCCCAAGTCACAAGCGAATACTGGGAGAATGTCGAAGGATCCTGGGATGATCCTGATACCCCCATCGCCTCCGACGTCCAACAGTTCTACACCGACGAGTACAACTGACTCATCGAGGAACAAACTCTGGAAGAGGGTAGTGGAAGCAATGGTGGCAAGGGACGTGCGACAGAAAGAACAAAGTGGCGAAGAACCACCTTCGAAGGAATCGTTACCCCTTTCCTCTCTGCCTGGGGAAAGGAACGAGGAGGTGGACAAACCACAGTCGGGAAAACCGACGCAGGAGGACATCGAAGAGATGAATCTCCAGAGTCATTTGGAGATGCTGGACCAATGCTCTACGCCTCAGAGCTCGACGGGGGAATCTACTCCTCCACCAGTACTCCAAGAGAGGCATGGGGAGTCCACACTTGGCCGGACGTTCCCTCCCAAAACTCATGTGTCAAGGAAGAAGTCTCCAGTTGGAGCCCAGACACCGGTTCCTCCTATGAGACAGAAGTCATCCGGCTCGAATCCGAAGTCGCCTCAAAGAGATCCGCTTGCCTCTGTAGCCAGGTATATCAATGGTATCACCAAGTCACTCTACAACTCGCACGAAGAATCCATCAATTGGCCAGGAAAGAAAGAGGAGTGGCCAAGGAAAAAGGGATACTGGATTGGGGATCGCTTATTCCAGTGGATTCCTGGATCACCCCTGAAGAGGGATCCTGGGACCTACCCCCCATGCACTCCGACTCAACCGCCAATGACACCTGGCACTCAGTTGCCAGGGATGGCTGGGAATTCCCCTGGCCAGACACCTTGTACGAGGCCATATGGCCCAATCCCATGGCTCGAACGGCCATCAACGAAGACCTATGGGACTCATTTTCCACCCCCATACTCCTGGGAAGGGAATACCGAACAATCCCAGAAGAAGAAGAAGAAAGTGAAGATAGTGGTACCTCCACCGACACCCCCTCTGACACGGACGAAACCGTCCATGTCTTTGGTGCTGAATTTCAGCACTGAAGACATCTTCAATACAAAGAAACCCGGGGGAGACTGGACCAAACCACACCTACCATCGGAGGTGTTTTGGACCACGTCTCTGGACCCCGAACTAGGAAGGAGAGTCCCCTCCCCTTCCCAATACAGAGGCGCGTTGTGCCCTAAAGCAGCAAATGAAGAAATGGAGAGGGATCGTCTCAAACGAGAAAGACGATGTTTCCGGTGTGGACACACTGGACATGTATGGAGGAACCGCAAATGTGACCCACAAAAGGAGTGGCTCGTCAAAAACTGGGAAGGGCGGAAGAGCCGCTTCACACGACAACAAATGGAATCCATGGAGGAACAATGTGTTCGCTGCGGATTCCCTGGACATACTAGATGGGATAACAAATGCCCCTCTGACAGGTCCCAATGGCGCTCTGCTTGAAAAAGCAGAGCCGAAACCCCTTGACAACAAGTGCTGAGGGGAAGGCGTTGGCAAAGGACTAGGCAATTTGCCTAGGTCAACCAGGACTAGTGCGTTTTCAGCAGGAAACAAGAAAGGAGTCGATGACGGACCAGGCAATTCGCCCTTGTACAACAGGATTCAATTTTCTCTCAGGTAAAACCCTACTCAAAAAATTTGTATTAAAAATTATGCTTGTAGGTACCCATACGGACAATAAATCCCTTTTGTTGCAGTTATACAGGGAAGGAGACAACCTTTAAAAACAAAAGAACTCCGAGGATTCAAACGAATCCCGACACCATCGCTATGGATATGTTGTGCATCCAAAGCGACAAACCCAATCAAGAGTCGATTGATCAATTGATCCAAAGGATCGATGATCAGGACCCTGATCGAATTGATCAAAGGTCCATGAAGGGACTGGAAATCCCAGCCAACCTACCAAGATGGAGAGACCGACCTCCGCCATAGGGGACGCTGGATTCCCAGACTGCAGGACTGATCAACCTCGAAAGGTTGACAGTCAAGAGCCATGACCAATCTGGTCGACTTGACAGAAACCCATCCATGCAAGTTGGAATCTCTACGAACGGTGAAGAGGCAGTACACCACTACAAAGGGAACTCTGGTCGACATGCCCAAGTGAAGGAATTAGTGAAGCGTAGGAGCAACACCTCAACGTCATCCGCCATAATGTCAAAAAGAGATGACTCCCCCACTAAACCTTCATGGCAAAATCCACCAACCGAACCCACAAAACATCATTACGGACGACCTCAATTGGACAAATCTGGAATGGCGGTGGGGATCTAAACAAGATTATTCGCATCATTCATGACCCGCTTAATCCCACCGATCACACTGCATCATCATTACCCTCGTCCGATGATCCATTTGATGGCCCAATAGATCCGATCATACTTCTATGGGCCTGATCCTCTTCTACCAAGTCACACTTCTTAAGAAGCTGACGGTGACACACCCAGTGGGGTACGGAAACGAAATCATATACATTGGGATGCCTCTCGCATACTAACACAACCAATCCGGAAGGAAGCAATGCATTGTAACACAAAAGAGGACTCCCACCAGAACAGACAGACACTTCCGAACCCACCGGACGTCAATGGGGTACGAGGGATTTCCCCTGCCGCCAAATCAGCAATGAACCCCAACCGTTAGGACATGCCGCCTTGCAGTGGCACTAACGACACGAGAGGTCAAAACGAAGGCTGAACTGGGGCCAGACTCTCGGAAAAGCGCGACTTGTGTGCAACTTCAGAAACGAGCAAGCGAAGTATTGCTGCTGGCAGTACGGGATCAAGAACGAGTAGGCCCCTCTGTGATGGCAGGGAACCCCTCAGATAAGCTACCACTTCGGTAGCAGGACGATGGGGGCCTGTAGCGAAACAGAGCTCCAAAGGTTTGACAGTAACCCCCCTCGTCCTCGGGAGTAAGAGCAAGGGCGACCAACTCCCGCTTAGGACCCATAGCGGTCTGGCGACCAAATGCCATCACCCTGAGTGGTAACCATCAAAACCCCTTGGTGCGGGGAAAGTTCCGGATGCAATGGAGAGGCCTCCGCATCAGGGACAGGCTGCGCCCAGCCATCCCGGTAAAGAACATCGGCTGACAACCTGGGCCACCGCTCCTACCCCAATTGTAGCAACGGCTCACATTGGAAAAGCAGCTGAGGCGAGGAACCAGGGGAATCCTGCATCTGCAGAACCCTCTGGTGAGCCAACATGTGTGCATCCACGAAGGGTTACCAAGTGTACCGCCGGGATCAAGGACCGGGGTAAGGACCCCTCAAGACAAAAGACCTTGCAGGGCGAAAGCCATACTGCTCAAGGCAGAGACAAGGAGTCTCTGGGGAGTAAGTCCTCAGGGGGTCGGCTCTCCCTTCGAGGCCACCAAGCAATCAAAACCGGGTAACTATCGTTGAAATACCTAACGACGAGGGGTACTGGAGTTAGTTGGTGCTCATTTTCCGAGGCTCTTCATTTAATTACAGTTACCAACGGAAGAGTTTACAGAACTCTTAAAAAATCCGGACTGTGCAGGCCATCCCCGAGTGGAAAAGACCTCAGTAGCGCAAGCGAACAGGCAGGAAGCTAAGTAACTGCAGAAGCACAACGGGCCACAAAACCTGCAGTGAACAGCGGCAGGGAGAAGTCCCCAATGCCGAAAGAGGGAAACCTCGAGTACTCATTGGAGGAGTACCCTTCGGACTCAAGAAGTTTTAGTCAAACTTATCCAAGAGGAGGAACTCATGAAGCGTAGGAGTAACGCTCAAACTCTACAAACCCTGTTAAAAACAGTAACTGACACTCTGCTCGTGACTGATAAAACAGCTGGTAAAGAGGAGAGGCGACTCACCCATGAAACCTCCCCGATGAGAAAGACCAGACACATCCTATCCTGACCGATTGACCAGTGGACCTGCAAAACGTGAAAATCAGAACTCACGTATGAAGTGGTCTCTACCCCACAGTCGTCGGTTAGCACGAATAGTACTCAAGAAGGGAGTTATTGGCCATAATAACTACCCCAGACGATCATACCACTATGGAATAGATGCAGTACCGAAGGATTTGGACAGTAAATCATCCAAATTCCCTGCATTCCTAACCCCGACGAACTTTGGAAAGTAGCAAACCGATAAATGACACCAAGTTCCCGGACTACAGAGCCATGCTAAAGGATTGGTTGGCGACACACTCCTTGCATCTGAGTTGCTGAATATCAGCACCAGATTGGAGCCCTACGTGTGAACAAACAACCTTAGCATATGCCATAGTCAAAACTTCAAGATGCCACCTCGTTAACTACACCCCCAAGGAACAGTCCAAATCAGGAGCCATTGGCTCAAACATCGGACGATAAATTCCTTTCATCCAGAAATACAGGGAAGGAAGTAAACCTTTAAAAACAAATAGCTACAACTCATAGAGGAGGAGAAAACCTTCGAACAAATCAAACGGCTAAACCAAAAGGCTCCACTGCGACAAAACAGATGAACCATCATCGAACGTTGAGGAACCTCCCGGGATAACCAAGTCAAAGGATGATAAATCCCTTTCATCCCGATCAATAGGGGAAGGACAAAACCTTCACAAAAAATCAACGAGAACTACCTTGTATGAGAAATACCTCGTTCAAAGATCGATGACTGAGAACAGTCAACCAATATTCTATAGCTGGACACCCCCTATCGGTCTCCAATTAATTAACCAGAGTTATTGGATCCCCAATCTATGGGTACTGCCAATCCCTTTCGCTGGGAAATACGAGGCTGCAGAAGCCACACAACCGTACTCAATGAGGACTCCAACCAAATTTACCACCAAGGAGAAGCCCCTTCACTAGGGAACTCTGTGGCAAGATATGTTGGATGAATCATTACGAATAGTAAATCCCTTCTATCCAGAAACATAGGAAAGGAGAAAACCTTTAAAAACAATGGTTACGCATATTTATTCCCCTTTCGCCGGGACATGCAAGGCTATCAAAGCCTTTCATCGGCAAACGCGAGGCTATGGTAGCCACACAACCAATAGACCAGAAATCTATCCAGATCTCCAACCTGAGGAGTAAACCTCATAAAAAATCGCATATTTATGATGAAGCATGGTCAATACCACCCACACGAGGGTTGGGATGGTATGTGACCCTGAAGGATGAGAACTACCTCGCCCAAAGACCAATGACTGAGAACGGTCAACCGTTACTTATCAGCAACAGTTGCAGATAAACAGTGCCCATGCACAACCTACCAAGGTGGAGAGACTGACCTCTACCGTAGATGGAGCACCAACAAGAACCCCACCGAAGGAATTCATCCCCAAGGGATCACCTCACTCAACCCAGCGATTGCAAGGGTCTCCGATATCCAAATCACCCAACGAGTGTTGATATTGATGCAAGACAAACCTTGTTCAATCCAAGTTGAGGATCAATAATCCAAAAAGGACCACCAATGCCATCAGAGACGGACCTGATAGCATCTCTTCACCACTTGAGAACTACCTCATCAAAGATCGCTAGCTGAGAACAGCCGCAAAGGCCAGACCAAGACGCAACCCTTGGCTGGGACAGAACCAACCGATCCCGATCGGAAGATCGAGGATCAGGGCCATGATCGATACTGATATCAAGGCCCAAAGAGGAGGACAACCTCCTCTTGTCAAAAGATCACTGCATAAGAAAATGCAAACCATACTAATCAGTGGTGTTATTCTCTGTAGAGAAACCACAGATTACCTCGTGGAAGCCAAGGCTCCTTAAATCCATATCTACCCTGACAACCCATCAAAAATCTGGACTCGAGCAACATCTATGATCAAACAGGAGGAGTCTCTGAGAAGTAAAGTCCTCGGGGAGCTGGTTCTCCCCTCGAGGAGACTTCTTCAATGAACTACGTCTCTATTCAAAGACTAGTGATGCTCAAAAGAAAAGATCATGATGGTATATCAGGAAAAGAGATCGGAACAAGAACAAGGGAGCCATTAGGTTCAAAACGGAGGAATTTGTCCCCAAGGGATCACCTCACTCAACCCAGCAATTGCAAGGGTCTCCGATATCCAAATCACCCAACGAGTGTTGATATCTATATGAGACAAACCTTGTTCAATCCAAGTTAAGGATTGATGATCTAAAGTCCCAAATTCCAAACCACCGAAATCACTACACCCCGACCACAGGTGTATCACACAGAAGTTACACTAGGAGCGAAGCTCCAGTGTGAGGGTGCAATCCGCACCACACCACCACATTGAAACAAGCTCTGCTTGATGTCGTGCTTGCCATCCCAAACGACAAAGAAAAAGTTCCACCTGAAAGTGGAATTTAGCAGAGGCGCAAGTGGCGCCATAACAAGGATCGAGACCACCCATCATTGAATGATAAGTGTCTCCATCACTACCCCGACAAGGAGCCTATGCCATCGATGAAAGACGACCACGATTTGCAACACTTGAAGCAGCAGAGGGATAACGCCATATCATCTCCTGGCTC